GAGGCCCTGGACATGCCTGGGATGCCTAGAGGGCAGCTGTGGGTGTCACACCAGGACCTTTCTCATCAGGAGTGGTGAGGCCCCCTCTGTCCAAGCTCAGGCACCAAGAGGGGTTTCTGCGGGGCTGGGGGCTCGGGGTCTGCAGCCTTTACACCCAGCTCCCTGGCCTTCTCCCTTCTGCCCTGGCCACCGTCTTCTGGGCCCCTGTGTGAGGGACACACTGAGTGATGAGCACTCAGGTGGGACAGGCAGGCTTGCTGCAGCCTGGGGCCCAGGTGGCCTGGAGCTTCTCATGGGAGTCGGCCAGGAGGCCCCAGTGAGCCATGGACTCTGTGAGTCCGAGGAGTCCAAGCTGCTGGCCAGTGCAATGAATGTCAGGGCCCACAGCCAGTACCCGGATTGGGGAACCACCCTGGCTTTCTCCCTGCCTTTTCTTGAGTCCCCACCCCTGGGCTTTTTGGAATCCACAGTCATGGTTGCCTTGTGTGTCCTGTGGAAGGACTTTGCCCAGGAAGGAGCTGCGAGTGAGTGTGCTTGCGTGTGCACTTGTGCCTGTGCCACCTGAAGCCCCTGGCTGGCAGCATCCTGTGCTCCTGTGCCTGCTGAAGTCTGGGTTCTGCTCCGGGGTCGGTGCCTGCCGGTGTATACGTGCCTCGTGCTTCTGGTCACTATGCTGGGGGTGGGGACAGGGCGGAGATGGTCGCTCCTACGCGTCTGCAGGAGGTCCTGGGCTGCTTCTCACCGCTGGGGCCTCCTGACACCGTCCCCACCTCCCCCAAGCTGGCTGGCCCCAGACGCAGACTCCAGGACCTGGACTGGGCCCCTGGCCTCTGGAGGCCCAGCTGCAGCTGGCGTGGTTTCTCCTCATCAGGAGCCAGAATCCTCGACTCCCTCCAGGCGGCTGGGGCGGAACAGCCAGGCCTCCGGAGTGGGCTCCTGGGGCAGCTGGGGATTGTGAAGGTGCACAGCCCTCCCACCAGGCCCCTCCACACACTCCAGTCCCCCAGCTTGGCTCAGGCTGACCCGGGAGCTGGCAAAGGCCGCTGCGAGACGCTGATCACTGCTCTTGGCCAGCGCCTGTGGGAGATGGCGCCGAGGGAGGCTGAGAGGCCTGAGGCCGTGCGTGGCGGGAAACAGGACAGTCAGGGAGGACTGGACCCTGTGCTGGGGACTGCTTCCAGGCTCGAGTCATGGCCCTGTGCGAAGCGTCTGGGGACTGGCAGCCCTGCACGAAGGGCAGCAGAGCAGGCAGCCGAGCACCCTGGTGGCATTTGTGGTCTTCTCATTTGTTTGGGATTTTCTACAACATGCAGGAAATTTTGAAAAAGTTGGGTGCATCCTAGAATCATCGCCGACCTTTGTGCTGCTTATGGAGTAAGAAAGGTAAATGAATATCAGATCAGAGACCTGGAGGCACCCCTCACTTGCACACCGAGGGTGTGGCCACCGCCCAAGGGCCGAGGAGCTGGAGGGAGACAGTCAGGGGACCAGGTCCTGGCTCTCTGAGGGCTCCGCCAGGTGGGAAGACACCGGCCTACGAGAGGGCTGATGAGTGGAGGGGTCACACAGGAGGGCCAAGAAGGAGAGAAGAAAGGCACCCCAGAGGTGTGCAGGGAGAGGGGGCAGCATACCAGTGGAGCAGGTACACACTAACACACAAGCACAAGGCGCACACATACTGTACACGCATTCTGGCAAGGCCGCTGGCCGGGCAGTGTCTCAGCCTGGCAGGAGATGGGAGTTGAGAGCAAACACCGCTCCACCTTGCTCTGCATGGAGAGGGTGGTGCCCCCTCCTGAGCTGCATTCTCAGCCAACAGCCAGTCCCAACCCATGGTGACTTGCGTGCAAGATTTGGGGACAGGCTTCAGTGGTCCCTCAAATTCCCCAATTGGCTCCGGAACAGTTCAGCACAGGCGCCAGGCAGTACTTCTGCAGCTGTGCCCACCCTGCCACCATGAGAGCAGGTGGCACCTGCCTAGTTTGCGACCAATGCCCAGCCTGTGGCAGTTCAGACAGAAGGCCTGCACCTTCCCCGATTGGGGACTGAGATGTTCCCACCATGGGCAGGCTGAGATGGGGCCAGACAAACGCCAGGACACGCTGTCCCCTGTCTTAGCCTGCTGGAGCGGGGCCCGTGCTGGGGACAGCGTCTGACCCTGTGTTCCAGGAGGGCTGGGGCAGTGCCCTGGGGATGCAGCTGTGCCCAGCTGTTCCCTTAGTGACATTGCGGGGGAGCTCTGCAGACAAGGACTGTTCAAAACAGTGTCAGGATACTGAGGTCCCTGTGACCCTGGGGCACTGGGCCAGAGGCCAAGGCCTTTTGACTGGTGGTCTTAGGAGAGGTGTTGATTTCCTAAAGACCTCCAGGTACCCAGGGGCTTATGAGACGTGTCTGCAGCCCAGCTGGACTGGGTGCCTTTGTCCAGGCCTGGAATCTCTGTGGCGCTGCCATCCTGTAGATGGCTTGTCCTTCCTGGTGATGCCCCCCGCCACTATGCTGTCGACCTCCTGGAAGTGTTCTGGCTAGACCCCTCCCCAGGTCACTTCAGTGGCCAGTAGCCTAGGCCCTGTCTCACGCCTTAGCAGGGGGCCAGCCTCGAGAGTGGGCTGGCAGGCTGGCGGCCAGTGTAGGCACAGCTCTCCCCACTGATGCAGGGCCAAGCCACAGCTGCTGCAGGTAGAGAGGCTCTGTAGCCCCTGCGGCTCCCAGGGTTCCCGCTGCCTGCCCCCTGCCCACACTGGGGAGCGTGAGCTCCCAGGGCTGCTGTGCTGCCCATCTGTGTGGCCTAGCACTCAGGAGTTTGTTGAGGAAGCAGGGGGAGACCGAGCTCACTGCCACTGAGCCACTGCTTTGGATCACTAGGCTCAGGGAGAGCCCAGCTGCCTGGATCCCAAGGTTCAAATCTGTAATGTAAGGGCTTCAGTGAGTTGGGCAATGGTGGTGTGCCTTAGTTTCCTTATCTGTAAAATAAGGGCAAAAGATTTCCGTTGCTTTCAATACGGCCAAGATGAGAGCTGGGGGTCAGCTACACGGCACTGTGTGTGCTCACCGTGTGCAAGGCCCTGGGTTTGATCGCTGGCAACATACACATGGCACTGCACACACATGCACAAGCAATACATGTGTGCAAACACACCACTGTGCACACCCTCCAAAGAAAGAGACCTGAACCTTTAGACAGAATAAGAAAATATCTACCTTTTCTACTATTGTCTTGAGCTGACCTGGAAGTATAAGATTCTCAGGCCGTGAGGGAGTGAGTGTCTGTGTGTGTCCAGCTCTCATTCACGTTCCCTTAGTTGTCCTGCACCATCAAGGAAAGTGCCATGGCTTCTATCTAGATGTCCCCCCAAAGCCTCATGCAGTCATAGGCGGGGAGTTTTGTAGGTAGCTGGCTTAGGGCGTGGGAATGTGGGTGGAGGGCATGATGCTGGGGTTAAGGGGCTGTATGGTAGAAGCCTCTCCCTTAGTCAGTAGGCTGATGGCCTGGATGGAGCACAGAGAGAGGGACGGTAGGCTCACAGCTGCTCCTGCCACTGCTGCTGCCTGCTGGGCCACAGACTCTGCCATACCCCTCTGCCTCGGAGCCCGCTGGCCATGGACACAAACCACGAGCTGAAGTTAACCCTTTCTCCTCTCCTGGCTGTCAGGTATTTTCTCCCAGTGATGAAGAAAGGAACTAAGACAGAAGGCGTTTCAGTCTGAACAGGGACTCTCGGCCCTGGATTAGTTCTTCATGGAAACTCCGTGGCCACCCTGGCTACAGACACCAGAAGCGGTGGTCAGCAGGAATCTTAGGTGGCCAAGACAGGCCAGCCCCACAATCAGACATCAGGACTCTCAGCCAGGAATATGAAGAATATGTTTTACATAAGAAATAAGACAGGTTTCCTGGGGATTTAATAAGAAATAAGACAGGTTTCCTTGGCAAGCGCAAGGTTATGAGTTCGATCCCTAGTACCAAAAAAAAAGACAGGCTTGAGTACGCTGACAAGTAACAGTTGTTGTGGAGAAAGAACCAAAATGTCCCTAGAAATTAAAATTAACACTTGAAATGGAAGAGGAAAAAGACAGTTTCACAGCAGTATAGACACAACTGGAGAGGGTATTGGTGACCTGGAGGAGAAGGCAAAGAAGGTTAGGAAAGGGGAAGTCACAAAGAACCAAGGCCGGGAAGTAGGAAACCTGGACGATGTGTTGCGGATGGCAGTGGACCCGAGAAGGAAGAGGAGGAGGAGGAGGAGGAAGAGGAGGAGGAGGAGGAGGAGGGAGGAGGGGGGGGAGGAGGAAGAGGAGGAGGAGGACGGGGAGAGGAGGAGGGGGGGAGGAGGAAGAGGAGGAGGAGGAGGAGAAGGAAGAGGAGGAGGAGGAGAAGGAAGAGGAGGAGGAAGAGGAGGAGGAGGACGGGGAGAGGAGGAGGGGGGGAGGAGGAAGAGGAGGAGGAGGAGAAGGAAGAGGAGGAGAAGGAGAAGGAAGAGGAGGAGGAGGAGAAGGAAGAGGAGGAGGAGGAGAAGGAAGAGGAGGAAGAGGAGGAAGAGGAAGAGGAAGAGGAGGAGCAAGAGGAGGAGGAAGAGCAAGAAGAGGAGGATGAGCAGGAGGAGGAGGAGGAAGAGGAGGAGGAGGAGAAGGAGGAGAAGGAGCAGAAGGAGGAAGGGGTGGTGTGGAGAGAGGAGTGTGGCTGAAGCTGTTTCAGGTCTGATGTGAGCTTGTGACTGCTTATTTAAGAAGCCCACTGAGTCCTCCGGAGAGAGAGAAGGAAGATTCCATGTGTGGTCAGAGCCAGAGAAGGGCTATGTCCCCCCATCCCCACTTCTTTCTTTTCTTTTTCTTTTTCCTGTTTAAATTTATTTTTAAACAGTCAGGTGTAGTGGCATACACCTGTAATCCCAGCACTCAGGAGGCTGAGGCAGGAGGATTGTTGTGAGTTTGAGACCAGCCTGAGCTGCAAAGTGAGTTCAAGGCCAGTCCGAACTGCATAGTGAGACCCTGTCTCAAAAAAGATTTTAAAAAAATTTATTTGCGGTGCTGGGGAGGAGCGTGGGGTGTGGTGAACGCGGGGTCTTCTTCAGCCGGCCAGGGAGCGAACGTCTCCAAACTACCATGGCAGCTAGGAAATAGAAGCAATATGCAACCTCTTCACTGTGCTGAGATCGAGTGACTGCGGGCCTTGAAGTCAGCATCTGGTGGGGAAAGGAAGCCCTGGGAAGCAAATAAAAATCAAGAATGCCTCTCGGCACCCACACACCTGCGGGAGTTTTAAAGGACAGAGGTGGAAGGAAGGGCACCCCAGGCAGGAAGATCAGGGGAAGTGGAAACCCAGGATCCCAGGTGTGGTGGATGGACAACTGGCATGCAGCTTGTAATGCCCAGCTGAACCGAGTCATCGTGGTGTGGGGTGCAGAGGGCCCACCTGAGGAGCACCGCCAGCAGCATAAGAAGGGGACCTGGAGAAGAAGAAGGTGTGTTACTGGCTGTCCTGTAGCTATTGATTCTCCTGAAGGAGTTTGCCACGCTGGCTCTCCTGACACATACCCAACTGTTATCAGGTGAGCTCAGCACCTTGTTGTCACTGAGGATGGCTGTAGTTCTCCTTGGCGGAGCCCTGGTCCGTCCTTTGGGCATCGCTTCCTGGCTCCAGTGTGGCTCCCTCAGCTGCTGGCCCAGATCCTTCACTCTGCTGGCACACATTTTCTAGCCCTTCCCACTGACCTTTAGGCCTTCCCAGGGCAGACACATCAAACAGACCTGCATGGGTCATTATCGTGGGCTGTAGGCCTCCAGCTGGACTCGTGCCGGATGCTGCTGTGGACCCAGGCCCTCAGCTGGATTCTTTGGGGTCTTTAGTGTGTGGACAGATTTCCTGCACTGCCTTGTGTGTGACTCTTTGGGTGTGACTATTATAAAATAATTCTATAAATTACGTGCCCTGTATTAAATCGTTCCCCTTGCACACCCTGATGACAGCACCAGGGAAGGCAGGGCAGGAGAGGCTCGCAGGCCAGGGTAGGGCAGGTAGTAGGAACACAAATGATGACAGGGACAATACAGAGAAGCCAGTGAAGACAGTGATCTCAGGCCAAATACAAAGAACAAGATTCAGTTTAAGTTCTTTATCAGAAACAGCTAAAGATAAGAATGAAGGTAAACATTTATGCAAATGCTAAGCCAAAGACAATTGAAAAGCTTCTGGTCATGGCAGAAAAATAGACTTTAAATTTAGAAGAGCTTCCACCCTTCCCTCTCACCCTACACCAAGATGAATGGGAAAAGGCACAAAAGGAGGATGCATGAGGGGACAGACAGCTCCATGACCTCAGATTAGGGAAAGCGTGTGCAGGTGTGATACCTAGAGCGTGTTCCACAGCTCCAAGCTGATGGAAGGTTCCGGAACCGTGAGCTCAAACTGATGTTTCCCTTTGGAGCTCGTTGTCCCAGGGATGTGGTCAGCGTGATGAGAAGCTGACTGCACTTCCCTGCAGAGCCTGCCATGGTGCTGCTGGACGGCAGAACAGGGCACCAAGGAGGCCGCACACAGTACTGGGGGGTAACATTTGCTCCTCATTGTTTCAATTTGGGGACAGCCAGGTGGCAGAGGTCACAACGAGGAGATCATCACAGTGAGTCACCTCTGGGCTGAGTGTCCATCACCGGCTGACTCGATGACTGGCAGACGTCAGTATGAGGGGCCCAGGGAGGAGCAGGTGCTTATGGCATGGGGTAGGGTGGTGGTAGCTGCCTGAAAGGCTTCCAGATGTGGCTGTGGCCACCAGACAGCCTGACTCCAGCTGGGACCCCGGGGCCAGCAGCTCTTGCTGGATGGGCTATCAGAAAATCAAAAGCCAGCAGTGGCGGAGGAGACCCAGATTCTCTGGGGGAGGGGAAGGGAAGGAAAAGGAGAGGAAGGAAAGGAGGGAGAAGGGAAGGGAAGAGAAGGCAAGGCCCGCCAGTGCCTGTGCCGGCCGCTGTCCTCTTCCTCTGCTGCTCCCACCTGGCCCCGAACTTGGGGTACTATGCCATCTGCTGGCAACTCTCTGCCAAAGGGCTCCCTGCTGGCTGCAGAGCCACTGTCCCTCTGTCTCCCGCAACGTGTGTGGTGGTGTGGAGGGGGCATTCCTGGCCCCTGGTCCTTGGTGAGACACTACTGGACCACACGGCACCAACCTGTCTGGACACAGGGCCATGCTCTCTTCCGGCTGAGCACACAAGGAGCCCCAGTCAGCAGAGGTCCCTACATTGTCCTGTTGGATGGCCAGGAGTGTGGGTTGGGTCACTACTGGACAGCCCTGGATGGGCACGTCACAGTTGCTCCTGGCTCTACTCTCAGGCACAGGTCAGCAGGGACCAGAGTGAGCCTCTGTGGCCACCAGCTCCTCTTTGTTGAGCATGGACTTGACCAGGAGACGGAGGTGGAAACAGCTGCCCACCCCATCCCAGCCTCTGTGCCTGCCACCCCTGGCGGAGTAGTCTAACCTAGCAGATTTGTCCAAGTCCCCTGGCTCACTGGACACAGGGCAGTGCATGACCCAGGAAACAGAGTGGCTGTGACTCTATGCTTTACCAAACCATGTGGCTAGCCAAGAGCTTGGGTGACCAGCACCCCACCCTGCTGGGCGCCATCCACAGGCTGAGAGCCCAGGCCAAGGGCTGCTATGTGGAAGCATCTCTCAGGGCCATCACGGCGCTCTGCAATGCCAGAACGGGACAAGGTGCCCCAGCCCAATCTCAGACTCTGGCTTCCGGCTCCTTCCACTGCCCTTTGGGCCATTCCTGCCCAAAGGGCAGGTGGCTAGACCCCACCCAGTGCCCTCAGACCCTGGAACCTGGCCTGTTCATAGCTTTGCATGGCCCCACCATGGATGGGGACCTCATATGTCTTCCCTGGACTGCGGTCCCCTCCTGCCTAGTGTCCTGAGCAGCACCTTCTGCGGAGCTTTCTGTCCCCACCTGTTGCCAGGCTGGCTAAAATCTTGGTTGTGCCTGCAGGCTGAGGTCTGAGGTGCTGTTGGATCCAGCCCCTTGGGGCTGTGGCTCGTGTGTCCCGCCTTTCAGGTCAGGTTGGGGACCTGATGCTGGGCGAGGAGGACCTGTCTATCCTTCCCTATACAAGGCCACAGCATATAGCCCGCCTGCTGCTCTGTCCACGGCTCCTCCGAAGGGCAGGAGGTCATCTTCCTTCTGCATGGCCTCAGGTGACCACAGACCACAGATGGATGGGAGCCAGGCCACGCAGAGCCAATGCCAGAGACAGAGGCCAGGCAGCGGCCTCCTGTCTCCACCGGGGCAGTGGTACATGTGTGTTCTTGCTGCCCGGGAAATGTGCAGGCTGTTGGGACAGCTCAGGATGCAGGGCCCAGCCAGGCCCAGGGCTGTGGAGCTGCGGCACCATCCTGGGTGCAGCACAGGTGCAGGATGCCTGACCCTTCTTCTAGGTTGCCCGCCTGGCCCTCTGCACCATGCTCCATTCTCAGGATCGGTGTGATGTCTCCCCGACAGTGGAGGTGCTGGTGCCCTAGGAGGGGGCAGCTCCTGTGGCAATGACCTTCTACAGGCCCAGAACTCTCTTTCTGTGCCCTCAACCAAAGATCATGAAGGTAGGAGTGAGCACCATTTACAATGTCGCTTTACAGACACAGCACTGAGGTCCGAAACCATCTCATTTAGTCTTGATGACAACAATCATGTAAGGTGGGCACTGTTACAGATGGGCATCTGGGAGGGTCCCTGGGGGATGTGAGGAGCTTGCTGGGGAGTGCTGGAATTCAGGCCTCGCAGTCCCAAGGCTTTTCCCTGGCCCACGCTGAGCCCTGTCCTGGCTCCACATCTTTTTTCTGCAATTTTAATTTCCTAATACATTCATTCACCTGAGGCGCCCATGGGGCCACCTCTCGAGGCTGCTGCTTCATGGAAGGGAAGGCTGAGGAGTACAGGTGGCAGAGAGGGTCCAGGTGACACAACCCTGCCAGGTAGGCGGGCAGGCAGCTGTCTGGGAGCACAGATCCTCTGCTGCCACAGTCAGGGCACCGGCCAGCCAAGGTGGCACAGGGTCCTGGCTGACACGGACACCCAGGTCTGCCCTCCCGCAGCTCCTCCCCTTCCCTGGCTCCTCCCTGGTCAAGCCCCTGGGGCCTGCCCTGCCCTGCTGGCCAGTGAGACCAGGGCGCATTCCTCTGGTGGCGCCCAGCATGCTGCTCCTAACTACAATCCCAGCTCCGCAGAGCAGGATGGAGCGAGACAGGCTACTCGGAAGTCGATGGGGAGCCATAAAGACCTTTTAAAAGGGGCAATAAAAGTTTTGGGTTTCAGATGTCTTCCTGGAGAGGAGAATAACAGAGACAGGAAATTTCAAGCACCGAGGGAGGGCTGAGGACACGACAAAGGCCACAGCTCAGCTTCAGACGAAAACACCTCTGTGCGCGCGCGCGTGCTCAGGGCCGTCCTGGCCCGGCCCCGCCAGCCTGACAGCCCTGCCAGCCTCCTGCCAGCTGGGGGGCAGGCAGGGCACCACAATAGACTGTTTTGTCTACGCCATTGTAAATGTTTATAATGCCTCTCCGCGCTTGCCTGCCTGAGGTAGGCCATGCGCCGGCCCCGCACTGTGGCAGGAGGGGTGTGGTGTGGGCTTGGCACGGGGCACACGACGCTGGGCGGGGCAACCCTGGGCCCTGATATAGGAGGGACCTGGGCCTTTGAAGCCATGCTAGGGTCTGTGCCCAACTCCTCCATTTAGTAAGGCACTCGGCTGGGAGGAAGAGTGCAGCCTCGGGCCACCAGTGTCCCCACGGCAAGGCCGCCACCTCTGTCCTCGGGTTTAACCCAGGTTACCAAGGTGCAGCGTGACTCCCTTCCCTCCTGGGTCTGTCTTGCACAGTCCAGAGCCACGATGCGTGGGCAGGACCAAGGGCCCCAGAACACACCTGCACATCAGACACACGGCAGGGCGTTTCTCAGTGTCGGTTCGTTGCCCACAAATGTGATTTTGTGTGGGGCACGCTCCGCCTTCGGATCTTCCTCTGGGCACTTGAAGCCCAGATGAGGCCTGGCTCTGTCCCAGCCCTGCCTGCGCAGTGGCTGTTGAAAGGCAGTGAACATCAGTGCCCTGGAGGCCTTGGCTGCCCTCTGGTACCAGCTGCTACCCACCATCCAGCAAGCTCCCTCCTGGGACTCTGGACATGCAGAGCCACTGTCCCAAACTCCCCAAGTTCCCAGTCCCCTTTGGGTCAGGTGGGAAAGGGAGTTCTGCCCAGAGCCCAAAGCTGGCAGAGGAGACCCTGAGACCATTCTGTCCCTTCTGGGACATGGGGACCCAGGGCTCCACCACACTGGGACTCAGGAGCGGGTGTCCAGGGTCCTTGCTTGCCAGTTATGGACCCTGGGTCTTGTGGGAGCTGGGGATCCATCCCTACCTGCCCTCCCCTTCTGTCTCTCTGGGCCCTCCTGTCCTTCTCAGATACTGAGCCCCAAGATGTCACAGTGAGCCTCAGTATCTGAGGCTGCTGAAGGAGGACACAGCTAGAAACTGGGGAGATCATGGTCACTGTCACCTGCTCAATGCCCTTGGCAACGATCTGCCCCTGCCTTGGGGGACAAGGCCCAGTCTGGGGCCCGAGGGGGCTGTGGTAGACGGGGCCAAGGGCTGGAGCGTGGCTCCTAACCTTCAATGACTTACAGTATTGGCAGGACTCCCGGACGGCTCCGTGAATCAGGCTGCTGCCGGGGAGGCGGGTGCTGTGGCCCTGCAGCCAGGCAGTCAGGCAGTGCCACCTGCTTGGCACTGGGGGGTGGAGGGAGCAGGGTTGCTCCTCAGGCACCTGCTTCTGGAGGGCTGGAGCCCAGCTCCACCCATCCATGGCTCAGTGGTCTACATGGTGTGAACGAGGGATGGGTCTGAGGGGCTGGTTGCAGGGTACCGGTTAGCTGCATTGTGCACCTGCATGCAGGGTGTGTGGCGTGTGTCTATGTGGTATGTGCATGTGCATGGGAGTGGAAGCCAGGGGAGGTACAGCAGCCGGGGTGGGAAGCCATGCATCTCCGTGTGCTGGACCCATGGTGCGTGTTGTGTGTCCCTCCTCCAGCCCCTGGCTGTGGGTTCATGGCCCAGGCATGAGGCTGCTGTCTTGGCCCTGGGACAGGTCAGGGCCGAGAATGGGGGAACTGTAGCCAGTGCTGTGTGGCTTTGGCAGCGCCAGAGGCCAAGGCCGGCAGAGCCCGGAACCTGACACTAGGGCCAGGCCAGGCAGTGCTATAAGAGGTAGGGGCCTGGGTCACCAGGGAGGTGGCAGGGCAGCTGCTGAGAATCGGGTGGGCCTGGGGAGGGGACCACAGGAGGCAACTTCAGGACAGATCGGCGGCCGCCCTGCTGGGTGGGGAATGGACATGGGCAGCTGCAACTGCAATGGCCATCTGGAAACACAAACAAGCCCCAGACAGGTGTAGGTGACTTCCTGCAGACGGATGAGCAGAGTCTGGGGAGGCAGCGGGGCCTCTGAGGTGACGTCTGGGAGCCATGGCCACCCCTCAGCTGTCACAGACAGGGCCTCCCCACTGCCCCCTGCTGAGCCAGATGCCCGCTGGCCTAAGCAGAGCTGCAGCTCCCGGGCACTGCCCCAGCCACGTCCATGCCAGGGTTGGACGCTGGGCCACAAGGCAGCATGGAGGACGTGGAGGGCCAGGGTAGGGCCTGCCTCCTGAGCACGGAGCTGGGGTCTGCCTGTCCACTGTGGGCACCAGTGCCTGGCTGAGGAGTGGGCAGGAGGGTGCACTGCTCTCCTGGGGACTTGAATTAAGTTCTGGAAAGGTGGTGGGTGGGTGGCAGGGCGCTCCTGACTGTTAACGAGGCCAGGTCTCAAGTGGGGGTGTGGGGTGCGAGGCAGGCCCCAGCCTGGGCACAGCTGGCCCCGTGGGGACATTCACAGCCTAGAGAAGGGGATGGAAGTGGTGACAATGGATGTCATGAGAAAACAGTGGAGCCTGGTGGAGACATGGCCCTGGGGTGGTTGAGATGCCCCTTGGGGTGGGGGGGGGTGCTAGGCTGAGACTGGACTAAGAGGTGTGTGTCCTGGGTATGGTGACCCCATGCCAATGTCTGGAGCCCCTGGGGATGTGAAAGACTGCTGCGCCCAGATGCACTGGGTGAGGGTGGGGCAGGGCTGGGCAGGCACCCTCAGACACAGGTGCAACAGAGGGTCGAGAAGTCCAGCTTGGCCGGGGCTCCCGCATCGCCAGCCTTCTTGTTGACCTTGGGCAGCAGCAGGGCGAAGGCCATGGCCAGGGCACAGTGGTAGAAGCTGTGGACGTAGGTGTAGTCCCACTCCTGCAGGGGACAGGGGCACAGGTCTGCTGCTTGGCCCCACCGGCCAGTCTTCCAGGGCCCCTGCGTGCCCTACTGGCTGCGGTGGTCTTCCTGCCACTGGACAGCACTGCACGGGGAGTCTACACTGCAGGCCACCAAGCAGGAGGACTTGGAGACCCCTCCATCTCCCACACTCCCTTCCCCTTTCTCCTCCTCCTCCCTCTGTATCCTGCATGTCCATGCCCGGCATGATGCTGGTGGCGCTGGGGCAGGCAATGTCCATGGTGCAAGGGGTGAGGCAGAGTGGCTGGGTGACCAACTGGCCCCTCCGTGCCTGGTCCTACCTGGAAGAAGAAGCGTAGCATGAGGGCCAGAGCCCCAAAACAGAGGCCAGGGCCTACTTGCTGGGTGTAGACGCTCCTATCGGGGTAGAGGCGCCTCTTCTCCTTCATCTTCTGCAGCTGTGGGCAGAGGGATGACAGCCTAGCATTGGGGCTGGAAGGGCACTGCCATCCAGCTGTGGGCTGGCATGCCCACCACCCCCCACTCCAGCCACCCCTACTGCATTGCATGGGCAGCGTGGCCAGTGGAGGCTCTGGGCGAGGCAGGAGCAGTAGCTGGCTGGAGATCTCTGGGACACTGTGCCCAAGTACTCACTCCCCTCCAGGGAGCCCTGAGGGGACTGTCACAGTCCCCCAGGGCAGAGGTGGTGGCCAGGGGACTATAGTGAGCAAGTGGCCACCTGAAAAGTATCAGGGGAGCTCCTGGGCCAGGACCCTGGCTCTGGGGGTGGCAATGCCTGAGCCAGGCTCTGCAGGGGTGGAACCTGCAAAGATGGGAGCACAGGGATGACGGGGTAACCGCAGGCCCCGCCCTGGAGCTGTTCCAGGACACAGGCAGGAGAAGCTGCCGCGTACTCCCCTGGGGTGTAAGTGTGGGACCCAGGGCAGCACTCCATGGCCCATGCCTCGAGGGGAGGGGTTCGCACGGCCAGCTCTCGGCTTGGCAGGTTCTGCCACCGTGAGTCTTGACACGGAGCTCACTGGGTTTCCAGTGTCTGGGGCTCACTGTAGCCTACAGGTGACACTGAGGCCTGGCTCGGGCTGGAGGAGTGGGCTCTGCCAGGCCATGGAGCCCCAATCTCAGGGATACCATTTGGCTGGCTAGCCCTGTGGTGACAGCACCAGAGCCCAAGAAGGGGACCAGGCTGCCCCTGGGAGCCCCTGATCCCCACCTCTCTATTTCTTTTTCTTTTTATGAGACCAGGTCTCATTATGTAGCCCAGGGTGGCAATCCTCCTGTTTCAGCCTCCCATGGGTTGGGATCGCAGGCGGGTACCACCATACCTGGGTTTAGCTCTCTCTGTTTCTGCTCCCCAAGGACATTTGTGGCCCCAGAGCTCTCCAGAGAGGAATGAGGCTGGGAGAAAAACCCATCTACATTCCAGGAAGTAGCAGCCCTCAAACATCTAAGATAAATGGTCCACTTGGCCGTCCTGGGAGCCCAGCCTGAGCCCAGACGCGGGGGATGGCGGCCGCCATTGCCAGTCCCAGGCCTCAGGAGCCTCCTGGAACCCAGAGGGGACCAGGAGTGAATTCTGTCCTGGCTAATTAGAACCCAACCGAGTTCAGAGGTTCAGAGCAGGCCAAGAGTGGCAAGGAGCGACCCTTGGCGGCCAGATGGGGCTTTATCAGAGGGGTGTCTGTGTTTACAAATTCCTCAGTAGTCATTAGTGGGGACCTCTCACCACCCCCAGGCAGCCGGGTTCAGGGTCAGCCCGGGGCGCTCCGCTCCGCAAGCTGTGGCAGGGAGACGGTGCTGGCTCTCTCCGGGAGTCGGGTTCACTCTCACTGCTCTGCCGGGGCTTTGCCTCCGGTGCTTACTGCCTTGTGCCTCAGTTTCTTTCTTAACCCAATGGCAAAATAAACCCCGCATCCCATGACTTGGTGCGGAGGTGGTGAGTTTTGAAGGGTGTGGGTCTGAGTCCTCCTCTGGGGACTCATCTTCCTGGCCCTCTGGGGTCACCGAGGCCCATTCTGCGCTGAGGCCCCGGTCTGGAGCTAGCTGGCCCTTCAGGGCTGTGCTTGTCCCCCGGCTCTGGGCTGTGTCCCTTCTTCATGGCCCCTCTCTCACTTTGGCTGCCTGAGTGTGTCCCAGCCTTGCAGCGGGAGGTGGGCCTGAAGGGGCTGGGCTGGGCTGCGAGTGCTTCTCCTGGGGTACTCAGGGGACTCAGGTGGCACTGGCCCCATCCCAGACCCTCCTTCTAAGTCAGACCATGCCCAAGGCTCACTGCCTCCAGGGAGGTGCCCCAGATTCTCCCCAGCCACTGCTCTATGAATGAGGTACCCCTGACCTGCCTTCAAAGCCATCTATGTATAGGAAACAGGCATGCTCTGGGGGACATAGGCTGATCAGGGAAGTGACCTAGTTATACCCAGTGCTGGGGACAGGGTGGGGCCGGGCACCCTCAGGAGGGAGAGGAGGCCCCTGCCAGAGGAGGAGGAGGAGCAGGAGGAGAAGGAGCAGGAGCAAGAGGAGGAGGAGGAGGAGGAGGAGGAGGAGGAAGAGGAGGTCCCACATACCCACTTGGCCGCGATGAGGAGCACGGCGGTGCCGATGGGGCCTGAGTACACACCATAGCCCTGGCGGTCGTGGTAGGTCCGCACGGCAATGGTCAACACGCCTAGCATCACCAAGGTGGACCTCTGGGGCTCGTCAAAGTCGGCCAGTGCTGAGAGGGGAGGAGAAACTGGGGCAGTGAGCACTGCTCACCCTCCTGGCTGTGCCCAGACTTAGGTACCCACGAAAGGTGACCCTGCGACCCGATCTGGTCTGGAGAGTTCTGAATTCCAGCCCATTCGATCTTGGTTGATCGCTTGATTGTAGGACCGGGGAGTTGAACCTTGGGCCTTCCCATGAGCCATATTCCCACCACTTTTATTTTGAACTAGGCTCTCATTAAGTTCCCTAGGTTAGACTTGAACTTGGTATCTTCCTGCCTCAACCTCCCTGAGTACTAGGATTACAAGCAGGCACCACCATTCCCGGGTGCTCAGTCCATTTGGCAGGAAAGGCAGGACGCTGCTTTCTGGGAGAGCACCGTTTCCCTAAAGGACCCCTGAGGGGGTGAATGGGGGAAAGTGAGCACTGGGGGCACTCACCCATGAGGGATACCCATGCGCTCAGTGCCGTGCCGTAGATGCTGAAGTACTCCAGGATGTCTCGGCGCAGGAAGCAGAGCATGGACAGACCGGGCCCAGCGCAAGCATGGTGGAGCTGCGGGGACACCAAGGCCAGTGGCTCAGGTTCACTCAAGGTGCCCTGGGGACGCCCTGGGAGGGAGGTGGGCTCAGGCCTGCGGTGCCCAGGGCTTAGCAGTGTCCTATTGCAGGGCTGCACGGGGGCAGGGCTGGCGCCAGGGCCTGGGGACCAAACCTGTCCTGTGCCCGGCTTCTGGTACTCACTGGGCAAGCTCTGCTTGTCTTCCCTCTGCTCCTTCTTCCTTTTCCCTCTTCCCCTTCACCCCTCCCGCCCTCCCTTCTTCCCCCTTCCCTTCCCTTCCCCTCCCTTCCCCCTCCATCCTTCCCCCGTCCCTCCCCTTTCCCTCCCTTCCCCCTCTCTTCTTTGCAGCCCTTATTTTGAGAGAGGGTCTCACTAAGTCACCATGTTTCTGGGTAGGGCTGGAATTTGTATTCTTCCTGCCTCAGCCTCCCCTATGGGCCAATCTTTGGGTGCCAGGCTAGGGCCTTCTCGGGGTGCCCCCAGGCCCTCGTGACCCACAGAAGCACTAGACTATACCAAAGCAGCTCTCTCAGGTGGGCGGGGGCCCTGGGAACTGGGGGCCTCACCGAGAAAGGCCCAAGGTGGCTGGCCCTGCGTTCGAGGCCTCCACAGCCACACCTGTAGGCCTCCCACACTTTCCTGCGCCTTCTCCCGACCCCTGTCTGAACAGCCATTCTTGAAGCAAAATGTCTCCAAGGAGGATTTTCCAAAGGGCGACTTATTTCTTCCTGAAAACAGCTCTCTGCCTTCACACCGAGCTCCGTCATCTGAAGAAATGTTTAATTCCATGACATAATTATTTTGACAGCTTCAGCTGGGGAGCCACACAAGGGCTCTTGGTGAGCCGGGCTCGGGGGAAGGGCGCTGCAGGTTGGGGGACGGGAGCCCCACGGGACCAGGCCAGCCCAGCACAACGGGCCAGGCGCAGACATGGGTGGCCTGAGGCCAGCAGCACTATGGAGGCATCAGCAGAGGGGAGCAACTGGGGCCAGGGAGGGGGGCGGCCTCTGTGTCCTGGGTAGACCTAGAGGGCTGTGCTGAGCTTTGGATGCTACACCCTTTGAGGAGTGACACTGGCAAAGAAGGGAGTCGAGGAGGGGGACATGGTCCAGGACAGACTTGGTTACCTTAGGGAAGGAGGACTTTAGGTGGGGGCTGATCAGGGTGCTCCGGTGTTTATGGGAGGGGCCCTGCCTGCCTGGCTCTGGGTTCCTCTTGCTGGGGCCAGCTCTGTGTACTGTGGGATGGGGGAGGTGAACCATATTGCATCATCTAGCTGTGAGGTTCTGGCAGGATGGGGTCGGGCACAAGGCATCCCCCGTGACTCAGTGTGGACTGACCAGGTTAGGGTGCTGTGGGGTGGATAGGCGCTCGGATCTGTGTCAAGCCTCATGGATCTTTGCAATGGTGTTTAGGTGGGAGGCTGAACCTGTAGGGCCTCTCTGTCTAGTGGGATGGGGACAGAAACTCTGTGGGGTTCTTTGGGGACCCCAGGGATCAAGCACCTGGCATGGTGTCTCACAGGGGAGGTCGTGTCATGGCAGAACTCTGGGAGGGGCAGACTGTGGTTCTGAGGCCAAAGGACATTTGTTGTGGGAGGCAGCTGGCCCTGCCACTCTGGGGGATTGGGTAGGGCCGTGGCCAGCTAAGGGGGCAGCTGTGGCCCCTGCCTGGTGGGGAAGGGTGCCCAGCTGGTGCCTGGGATGTGTGGGAGGCCCAGCCTGAGCCCTAGGGTGAGTCCTGCCTCTGTCCCTGGCCCCGGCTCTGAGTTGGGCTTTTCCCTTGCTCAGTAGATGCCTTGCTGCTGGCCCAGGCTGGATCCCTCAAGGAGCCAGTGGCTCGGCACAGGGCAGGACCTGGGAGGACAAGGGCTGAGGGCTTGTGGTGTTGGAGTGATGTGGAACCCTGGCCACCAGGCCCCAGTGGGAATGGCTGCTATCTCCCACTCCAGAGCTGCGGAGTCCCAGGAAACCCAGCCTCTGGGGCCCAGCCCTGGGCCATGCCACTGTCACCAAGGAAGAGCCACATCAGGGAGGGGACCTGGGCCCCCACCTGGACCCCCACCGCACGGGCACAGGGGCCTTGTGGACACAGTGTGCAAACTGCGTGCTAAACAAGGGCCTCACTGGTCAACACTGCTGGCTGGGCATGTGTGCACAGCCTGGCCACCAGAGCTGGGTGAGGTTTCACAGGTCTTTGCCACACCAGGAGGCAGTGGCCGCCCGCCCCCAGCTCCCTGTCACATGGGGCTGGGCCGTTGAGGAGGGCGTGTCTGAGGGTTGGAGTCCGAGAGCGGGATCTTCTGTGATCCCAGCAGGTGGACCTTGGGGGAGTCCTGGGGGAGTCTTGGACACCAGGTCAGGGAGATGGCAGGGGTAGAGATGGTGACTGATAGATTATTAGGCAGGGTTAGGGTAGACTGACTAGGTGGATGATCAGGTAGATTTAGATTGCAGCAATGGACGGAAGATTATCGAGCTGACAGACATGTCAGATAGACAAAGATAGAAAGATGCCAGCTGGAGGAGAACTGATAGAACCAAGAGACCCAGAGGACAGAGCTCGAGACATGAAGACCAAGGGTTTAGGAAGAGATGAATTCCGTAGAGAGATAGGACCACAAGGAGACAGAGACAGAGACAGAGAGACAGAGAGATGGAGAAACAGAGACAGAGACAGAGACAGAGAGACAGAGCCAGAGAGAGAGACAGAGAGAAAGACAGAGGGAGAGCAACAGAGACAGAGAGACAGAGGGAGAGACCGGGAGGGCTGGGATGAGAAGGGTAGACCCACGGCGGGAGGAAGAGGCCCGCGTGGGGACCCTCTTCATAGGCTGTGGTGCCAGGCACCCCACTTTATAAAAGACGCAGAAATCAGCCCATGACAGTTACCTGGAAACGGAGCAGAGCGAGGAGAGGGAGCTGGGCTCCAGGGGGTGACATAAACAGCAAGAGAGAGGCCGAGGAGAGGCTGCCATGTGCACGGGCACCCCACCCCCAGGGTCACGGCTTGCCCTACTCCCCTGCCCCAGCCCTGGCTGAGGTTAGGGCTGAAGAGGTGGGACAGGAGCCGGGGAAGGGGCAGCAGTGGCCCAATAGTCCTCAACCATGGCCCCGGGCCATTGTGGGCTTGGGCTCATGCTTCCTGGCACAGAGTGGGAGACTGAGGCCCATAGAGGGGAGGCACCCTGGGAGCCCTCTCTCGCCACCCCCAGACCCCATCTGAGCTCTTTCCTCAGTTCTAACCCTTCCCCTACTCCCCCAGCGTGGACTAAGACACCCCTGCCTCTGCCCCACTGCCCAGACTCACGGCCAGAAAGAACATGGTGAAGAGATAGACCATGGCCTCCATGTGGAAGCGGCGTTTGGCGGCCACACTGATGGTGGGCAGGAGGGCCAGGCTGCTGAGGGTGGGCAGGAGCAGCTTGGCCAGGAGCGTCCCCATGGGTGGCAGGATGGATCTAGCTGGGGGAAGAAAGCCGGCTCCGACAGTGGCCAGCACAGCTGTGGTGCCCACGCCCAGAAAAAAGAGTAGATGAGGCAGGTGCTGAGCGCCCCCACCCCGGTGCCCTGACAGCTGATGGCCACATGATCAGCCCTGGCCTTGCGAGCCTCTCCCTGTGCAGCCGAGAGGAGGAGCAGGAGGCCACGTGCCCCCCTCGGGGAAGTCCCTGGGTGCAGCCCGGACTCGGACCGCAGACCCCTGGGTGCTGGGGCTCGGGTCTGGGTCCGAGGGAGGCAAAGGGTCACAGGACCCACACCAGGTGTTGGGCGACACTGACCCCATGAGCCAGTGGACAGGACATCACCACATGTCCACTGAGGCCACAGCCAGGCTACCCTCTTGGCTTTTCCCACCTCTTCCCACAACGCCCCTTGCTGGCCTCCAACAACCACCTTCTCCTGAGGCTCGAGGGGCTGTGTGGCCCCTCCCCGCTCACCCTGCAGCCAGTTCCGGCTGGACTCTCGGGGCTGATGAGTTGGCTGATGCTGCGGCCAGCGGAGCCCTCTGCTTCCCTTCTCTTTACCCTTGCGGTGTGCTTGGTGCAAGAGGCATGTGTGGGGTTGAGCTGCGGCCCAGATAGTCCACAGGAGCACATGCACATGCACCCTGGGGCATTGCTCCCAGCACCCCTTCCTGGGAAGCCCCCAGCAGAATTGGCTCTGCTCAGGCTGACTTTGTTCTCAAACTCCACGCTGGACCTGCCGTGTGTGGTTCCATGACTCCCACCGCACTGTGCCGGGCCACGCCCCACACCCTCTTCCTGCTCCTCCTCCTCTTGGGAACTGGAATTTGTGCCACCCCACTGGGAAGCCTGGATGCCTCACCTGTCCTTCGCCTGAGAGCTCCTTCACACACCTTTCCAGAAACTTCCTCCTAGCCTTTCAGGTAGCTGCGTTCCATTTTCGCCATCCACCATGGGACACTTGACCCAAGATGTCTGGTGGCGTCATGCTGCTTAGAACCCTTTCAAGGTGCCCATGACCCTCAGTGTGAAGTCCAAGTGCCCATGGAGATTCCTGGCTGACCATCCTGGAGCCCTGGGCCCCACACTCCCACCCTGGGCCTTCCCCACTCCCTCTCCTGTACACAGGCATCTTGCTCCTGTGCATCCTGCTGAGAGGCCTGTGGTTCTGGGACTGACAGCACCCCTGCCCCAAGACAAGGGTCCCTGTGTGCTGTGACCTTCCCCTCTACCCTATGGCTGGGACATTGGACAGCAGAGTCCAGGGCAGGGGCTTGGGTTGCTGGACCCCTGCCCGAGACCCCTGAGCCCATGTTCTGTTCCTCTGGGTCTCTGACCCACACCTCTGAATGACTCTGTTATAAGAATGAACCAGAGTCTACAGAGGGGTTGGGGCTGGTCTGGTCTTGCAGATGGGAAAACCCTGCTGGGTGGGAGGCAATTCTTGTGGGCCCCTTCATGAAGGCCTGACTGTGCCCAATCCTCCCCTCTGCCCCAAGAGCAGGCGAGGGCGGAGAAGCAGCAGCAGGTGGTGTCAGGTGTGGGGAATGCGGTCCAAAGCAGAACATTCCACAGTGGGTCCTGTGCACGGGGCGTGTGTTTGCAGCTGTGAGCTCCAGGCCCAGCTGTCAGCTTGAGAAAGGAAGAAGAGATGAGGGCAGAGCAGGGGGGCAGCAGGGGGCGGCGCTGCTGAACTCGTGTTGCTAGGCTAAGGGGGAAGGGGCAGGGAGGAGGGACTGTGGGGGGAGGCTGGCGTGGCCGGGGTTCCCCTGCGTGGGGCTGGAGGGCAACTGCTCTGTAAGGGGACGCATGGTGGTGGGTATGGCTCTACATGGTGCCTGTCTGAGCCTGGCCACCTGCACACTGCCCAGCTGGCTCTGCCCAGGACTGGAATGACCATCACATCTCCTGGCCTGAGGGGGTGGGGCAGAATGGACAGAGAAGGCAGATGCTTTGGGGGTGTCACTGCCCCTGGAGACGTGGTGGAGAGGTTCAGGCCCGACACCACCAGGCAGAGCTGCAAGCTGGCTGCATCCCTCCTGCGCTGACAGCTCCCTGCTGAATCCAGGCTTCAGCCAGTGGTTCCTCCAGACCCTGGGCTCTGCCCAGCTGAAGCAAACCCTCGGCTTTTCCTGACCCTTGACATATGTAGCATCTGCCTTCTTCAAGGCTTCATGGTGCTGCTTGCGTGGGTCTTGAAAACCACTTACATGCACAGATGGCTGTTCAGGGCCAGGCCTGTGCTGAGACCACTGCCTTCCACATCCCATGGGCAGCAGCGGGGTGCAGACCTCTGCTCTCCATTGCAGGGATGAGGAGACTGAGGCCCAGAGAGAGGTGGGGCCTCCCAGGGTCTCCCAGCCATGCCTGATCCATGCCCTGGGTCCTGTTTTCCTCTCTCTCCTGCCAGCTGGAGGCCAGAGCTCTTTCACTTCCATACCTCCTGTGGCTGTCAGGCTGGCTTGGGCTCCATTTCCAGCCCCTGGGATAGGGCAGGGTACGGGGGGAGGGGGGGGGAATCCTGTCTCTGCCCAGCAGGTGGCACTGGTCCCAGTGGGACTCTGCAGGTCTGGCACCCGGCCCAGGCCCCAGCTCACGTGGTGGGGGCAGGGCAGGCATGGATGACCCCAACTCCTGCCTCAGAGGTCCTGCTCTGTGTGTCCTGGGCACCTCTGTGCCGGCATCTCAACCCCACCATCAGAAGCAGTCAGGTTCTTCAGCAGCTAGAGAGCGTGGGTTGGGTGGCTGGTTGAAGCCCTGCCCTTTCTCCCAATGGTATTGGTAGCCATTAGGCCCCACGAGCCTCAGTTTCAACTTCTGCACAACGGAGCACTCGATACCCTAGGGCCTTCAGGGCTGCTGCAAGGCCTGCCTGGCACAGGTACAGGCAGCTTGGGGCAGGGAGGGCAGCTTGGCAGTGCTGGGGCCGAGAGCCGGGACACTCTTATCCTCCCGGGCTGAGGCGGGTTGGGTTCTGAACCGATGGTGCCCAGTCCCGTGCCCCTTTTGGTCACTAGCCCCTTTGTCCCCACTCAGCTGGCTGTGGCCACGTAGGCACTGTCCAGCCAGAGGCTGATGGGTGGACACACGCAGCAGCAGTTTTGCTTGGGGGCTCAGGCGTTCAGACTCTGTGGCTGCTGGAGCTCCCGGGGTCTGGGCAAGGAGGGACTGGCAAGGAGGCCATCCGAACAAGAAGGCCTCTCCCTCCCCTCCGGCCTCCCCTCCCTCCACAGTCCGAGGGCTCAAACACAGGACCTTCACAGTGAGCCAATCCTCAGCCCTTGTCCCATCCTTTATTTTGAGATGGGCTCTTGTCCAGTTTCCCAGGCTGGACTTGAATTTGTGATTTTTGGGACTCGGCCTCTCACCCTTGGGGAAGCCTCAGACTATGTTGGCTTGGTCAGGCTCAGCCACTCGTAGGCCCGAGAGCCCCAATCTAAAGCACCTCCTCGGCCTAGCACACCATGCCCATGTGCCTGGCTGAGAGGAGAGGAGGAACAGGAAGTGCACTCCGTGGTCCAGCTTGGCGCACGGGGCCTCTCGCCCGCTGGTCCCTTGGGAGTCCCTAGCACCCCACTGCTCTCTGTGCAGGCTCCCACAGGTTGTATGGAGTCCCCCTAGGAACACTGGTCTTCTAGCTCTTGCCTGAGGCCGAGGAGGGCCCCCTTGGATAGAAACTGGGTACCGTGGGGCTCTGGAGGACTCGAGAGCTACCCTGATCGCACTGCTCTGGCTGCAGCCACTTCCTCAGTCGTTTTTCCACACAGGTGGTGGCTCTGAGCCTCTGACACCCACAGGAGGCGACCCTTCCTTGGGCTCGTGAAGCCATGGGAAGCAACGGGGGGCAGGGAGCCCAGTGCGCCATGTCCTCCCCCTGGGGTGGAACCTCGGCTTTGGCTTCGTTGCATCCGGTCATGACCGCATGGTTTTCTCGGGGCTGAGGAAATCATAAAAGCCAGGGAGGGCCCTGGTAACCACTGCCCAGAGCCAGGGGGCGCCACTGGCCCTCACAGGCCCCATCCTCAGTCTCCAGCTCCAGTTCATGGGGCCTCACCCAGGCACAGTGTGGGGACCACCTCCCACCCTTACAGCACAAGCAGGGATGCCAGAGTGAGGAGAGGTGGGATTTGAGCCCAGCTACAGATCCTGCCAGGGCATGGCAATCAGGGGCCCCGAGTGGTGCTAGGGTCACAGTCACTTGAAGGACAGTACCTCTCTATGGATCTGAGCCTCTTGAGTGTGGGCACTGTGCCCACCTGGCACTATGAGTGGCTTGGGAGAAAGCTCACTGGGTGTGTGACTGCTCCCTGGCATCCAGGATGTTCTGACATGGGGTGCAGGGCATTCCAGATTCACAGCCTCTGAGAAACTCTGGGTACTCTCCAGATGGACCCTGAGTGGACAGAGCACTGGGGATATTGTGCCGCCCAGCCACACGCAGGGACGAGATTCTGGCCAGACTATGTGGGGCTTGTGGTGTCTCGGAGACAGCCAGTGGGTCTGAGCTCGGGCTCGGTGCAGAGTGCTAAGACTCTTGCCCCAAAGGCAGGCCGAAGTTTCCTGTTACCCCAACACCACCTTTCTCCACACCCTTGAGGTTTTTTTTGTTGTACTGTCACCATCTTGGGGACAGGGACACTGGAGGGTGAATGCCGACCCCCATGGGTGCTGGGGACCCCACTGGCATGAGGACTGCACCGTCACTGGGGGGGGGCAGCTGGGGGCTGAGAACCCTCCCTGGGAAGTGGGACTTGGACGGCCTCCGCTGCAATGCCCAGGACATCAAGACCATGGCTGCTTGGGGCTCCTGGAGGTCAGGAGCAGGTGGCAGTGCGGCAGGCTTAGGGAGCTGGGATGCCACAAGCCAAGGTACTGGTCCCACTGGCCCGCCTCCCAGGGGCCCATCCCGCAGCTCGTGCCGACGCTGGGGGTGGGTGTGTGGGCTGGCCGCAGGGTCCCTCCCAAGGGAAACTGTTAGTCACTGTGCTGCCGGCTGTGTGCGGGAGCCAGAAGTGCCAGGAGGCATGGGGATGGTGCCAGGCTGTGCAGGGCCTGGCGGCCAGCCGCAGGGAGGAGAACAGGCGGTGGAGACTCCTGGAGCGAGTGTGACATGATTCTGGGTACAAGGGGGCTGAGCGTGTGTGCAGCCTGCAGGGCATGTGCCAGGGCCATGTGATGGGCCCAGCACGACTGTGCTTCAGCACGCTGCCCCCAGGGGGCGGTGTAGGGCTGGTTAGGATGGTGGGGAAGGCTGGGTTGGGGGACAGAGGCTGTCTAGGGAAAGGCCTGGGGCTGGCAGAGGGCCTGGCAGATTGTGTGCGAGGTGCCAGGAAGCAGTCTGGTGTCCCAGACCTCAGGCAGGTTCCTCAGAGCCTCTGAGCCTCCGTCCCTAGCTGAAACTGGGAATGACCAACATGCTGGCTCACGGCTGCCTGGACCCAGCACAGGCCCAGCTTGGGAGCGTTGCCGCTGTTTTGACTGTTGCTGCTGGCTGCTCTTCCCTGACCTTTCCGGCTGGTGGTCACACACAGGACAGAACTTCCCCAGGGTGCAGCTCTTAGCTGCTCAAGGAGGCACTGGAGGAGGGGGAGGGAGGGAAGAGCCTCTCCAGGCACTGCCGCAGGCCCGGCCGTCTGTGAGTGGAGCCCGGGGTGTGGACGAGCCAGCTCAGACCTTACACGGCGGCGTTGGCCTGGCTCTTGCTTCTCAGCCCTGCCTCTGTTTTCTGGGATGGGGGGCTCTGAGGGGCAGGTCCTGGCCATGCAGGTCCTGCCAGGCTCCCCTGGCCAGCTGCTGGCCCCTGCACCTCTGTGCTCTGGCTCAGCAGGAAGACAGAGGCTGCCAGGGGCTGCCCAGTGGGCACAGTGCCCAGCCAGGCCGCCGTGCCTGCCAAGCTGGTGCCGAACATCTGCAAGCTTCCCTGTGCCTCTCCTGCTGGCCTTGGCCATTCTGGCCGTCTGGTCAGCAGGCCGCACACATCTGTCCCCTCCTGGGAGCCCTTGGCCCGGCCTCCCTCTGTCCTTCACCTGTTTAGACCTCTGCTCATCAGGACGGCACGGAAGAAGCTAGCTGTGGGCTAGGGGCCCACAGACCTGTCTCTGCTCTGTGGATGGGGACACCTCTGCCCTACTCACTGGGGTGGAAAGGGCTAGGCCCTGGAGGGATGGGCAGATTGGAGACTCCGAATGGCCACCGTCAGCCTCCCTGGTGACCTCAGTTTAGTTGCTCCATCTGGACACCCGCACGTGGTCCCCAGGCGGGACCTGGGTCACCGGCCTCCTGCTCAGCCTCCTGCTTGCTGCTCCCGGGCCTTGCAGCAGCAGCCAGCAGGCAGCTGGGCCGCCTGGCCGGGCTCCAGAGGCGCAGAGCGGGTTAAAGTGTGCGCCAGTCCGGCCGGCGGCGGGCGGGGCAGCGGCCTGGTGGGAAGTGTGAGTTCCTCCCCGTCTGCCTGACAGCTATAAAGGCGGCTGCGGCCACAGAGCCGCCACTGGGCTGCGCCCCTCCCTTCCCTCCCGGGATCCCCTCCCTCACACGCTCTTTGAAGTGGGAGAGGGGAGGCTGCTGAGGAGGAGAGGAGGACAAGGCAGAGCTTCGCGTCCCTGGCCTCTGCTTGCTGCTGCTGGCTGCACACCTGGCGCTCAGCCCTGCTCTGGGAGGACAACCTGCTGAGGCCGGGCCAGGTAGGCCATGAGTCCCTGCCCCTGCAATGTTGCAGCCTCCTGGGGCCTGTGTTCTGCTCCTCCAGCTGCCCGGGGTGGGTGCCTTTATTCACGGAGGCGGGCAGACGGGCCATCCGACCTGCGAGTGTGGGGCCACCCCCTCCCCTGCAGCCGCTGCCCTGTAGCTGCCGGCTGCTTTGCAAACCCCTCCTGCAGTCCCGCCGCTGGTTTGGGACCCCGGGGAGGGATGGATCCCGCGCAAGCCGGCCTGGCCTGAGGCCAGTGGCGTCTGGGAGCCTTAATGAAAACCGAGTGTGCTGCTCGGCACCTGTCTTCAGCCGAGGGCAGGGCCAGGCGCCAGGGAGCACATGGGCCAGCTCGGGCTCTGCTGCTGGGAGGCTGGGGTGCAGAAGGAGCCCAGGGGCACATCAGCTGGTGGGATGGGAACCCCAACAGCAGATGGATGTGTGAACACCTGACCTGCCTGGCCTGAGGAAGGGCATCCCGAGGCCCTGGAAAGCAGGCTTCCCCTCAGGGCTGCAGGGAAGGTTACCTCCACAATTGCCCCTAAACAGATCTGGATGAGGGTCGAGCCCCTGTGGGTTTGGGTGCTGGCTAGCTTCCACTGTCTCTGGACTGGGTGGATTCAGAAACCCCTTTCTCTAAGTCCCTGCAAGTAAGATTTCTGGAGACAAACCCTGGCTCCTCTCTCCCTCCTCTCTGGGGCAGGGGAAAGCTGAAGTTGGGGGCGGGGTCACATGCCTGGGGGCTGATTGGATCCATTTATTTGACCCTAGTGTGACCCTGACAATCTTGGCTTGTTGGGAGGGGTCAGCCAAAGGCCCTGGGCTGCGTCACAAGCTGCCCCCTCCCCCAATTCCATCTTCCTGGTGTAGGTGCAGACTCCTGGGCTGGGGTCCATAGAGGGTCCTCTGCTGAGGTTCACTAGGGCCCTCTGGGTGGGAGGGATGAGCACAGCTTGGCAGGGGCAGGGCTGACCTGGCCCCTGGTGCCCTTGACCCTATCCATGTCGACTTCCCCCCAGCCTGGACCTCTGGCCCCTCAGCCATTCTTGGTGTCTCCAGTGAGCTCTGGCCTTGGAGGCCGAGAACATAGCCTCCCTGTGTGCCCTCAGATTAACGGTGGCCTGACTTGGCACACATACCACCTGTCTATGCCCAGGCCCAGACAGGCCTCTAATTTCGCCTCAAGTGCCTTCTTGTTGGCCCCAAGGATGAGCAGCTACAACTGGCCAATCCCAGCTAACTTAGCCCCTCGGGGCCCTGGATGAATCTTGGGGACCTCCTCAAAGCTGGCTCTGACCTGGCAGTGACAGTGGCCTTGATTCTTAGGATGGATGGAGGATGGCAGTGTTCACAGTGGGCCTGGGCCTTGCTGGCTATGGCGGTGGTGGCTAGGGGTGCGGCATCCACGGAGCTCTCGGTGAGTGGGGTATCATTGTCTGGGGCCCTGACTCAGCCACTCATGCAGGCATAGTTGCCCCAAAACAGTCACCCCTGACTATGGGGCATCATGAGGTAGTTGGGGCACAACCCAGGATCCCAGAGATCCCTGGCCTGTCCCAGGATCCTGGCCATTCCAAGCCCTTGGCTGTGAGCGGTACAGTGGCTGAGGGTGGCTGGGTGCCTCTCTGTCCATCAAAGGCGGGCTGTGTTCCCCCAGATCCAGGCGGAGTGGGCTGTGAGGAATGGGCTGGAGCTCACTAAACCTCCTGACATTCAAGCCTGAAGACCAGGGGGACCATGGGTCTGGTGCGGGGAGACCTGAGTCTGGGTTGCTGAGGGATCCTTGCATCTTCCTGCATGACTGCCAGCAGGCCTCAGGCAAGGGGAAGCCCATCCTGCTGAGCACTTGAGTCCTCTGCTAAACCGTGTGGATCTCTCAACAGGACAACAGCCCCACGTCCAACAGCCTGGAGGGCGGCGCTGATGCCACCGCATACTGGTGGGGAGAGTGGACCAAGTGGACAGCATGCTCCCGCAGCTGTGGGGGCGGGGTGACGTCCCAGGAGCGACACTGCCTGCAGCAGAGGTGGGTGCACTGCACAGCAGGGAGTGGATGCTCGTGCTGGGTCCTCTGTCTGCCTAGTGGCCTCTGTGGGGGACCGGGCTCCTGACAGTCCCTGCAGCGCCACCCACCCTGGATTTGCCACACCCCAGGTACTAAGAAGCCTCCTTGTAGGGAAGCAGCACCTGACTCCAGGGCTCTGGCTTGGAGGGGCAAGACCCCAGCCTTCTCTTCTGAAGCCTTGAGCTCGGTGGGCATGAGGAGGAGCTTGGTAGGCTCAGGCTGGAATTCTGCTGTTGCGCAGTCCTGGGTTTCAGTCTTGCCTGTGCTACCTCCTTGGCGAGCCGCTTGACCGTCTGCCACCTGCACCCTCAGCTGTAGCATGGGGAGACTGGGGGACTCAGCTCTGTCTCTCAGCGCCCAGGAGGTCTTGTGTGTTAACAGGTACCTTGGTACCTCTCAGACCTGGTGCTGCATCCTTCCTGTGGCCAGGGGAAGGTAGCTTTGGAAGCTGGTGGCCAGGGCCACCCTGGGGCCACTTCTGAGGCTGTGAACCTTGCTCAGCACCTGTCTTCCTACAGGAGGAAGTCTATTCCTGGTGCTGGCAACAGGACCTGTACTGGCATATCCAAGCGCTACCAGCTCTGCAGCCTGACGGTGAGCCCGGGCCTGGGATGTGGGTCCCCCTGAGACCCCAAGTCTCGAAGTGCTTCTAGCACCCTTCAAGGAGAGCTGGGACAGGACTGGGCCAGGCTCAGACTGAGGTGTGCTGTGCCCGCCTGGGCTCTCACACACTGGGCTGACTTCCCTGTCCCCGTGTGCAGGACAATGCCCTGGGCCACTTCTTGGGATCTGGCCAGCTCCTGCTCAGCTGTTCACCATTGTGCCCTGGGGTCTTGGGTCTCTGAGGCTTCATCAGCCAGGCGTCAGGAGGGAGGCAGCAGAGGCTGAGGCTGGGGAAGAGGCACTGAGGCTGGCCATGTCTCAGGGTGGCTCTCAGTAGGGGAACCAGAATCAGTGTGAACCCCACACCTGTCCCCAGAATGTGAGGGTGTGGGGCAAGGTACTGGTCTGCACAGGCTTGAGGCCACTGCCATCATGCGTGGGGCAGGTGCTGGAGGGGTGGAGTGGCCACAGCTCATGCCCTGAGGTCCCCTGGTCAGCTGCCTCACAGATGGCGCTGCCGTGCTTGTCGATACTCATGAGCTCCCAGATCGGACAGAGCCCTCCTGACAAGGCTGGGCCACTGGGACACTACCTTCTCTCTCCCTGGCTCTCCCTCAACGCAACCTCTCTGTGTGATCAGTGATAGAACCACCTGCCCACATGGGCGAAGTCTGCTGAAGGGGGAATCAGTGGGGCAGCGCCTACGCATCTCGGCACCTATGCCTTGCGGCTGGGGACAGGAAGGGTGGCAGGCAGAATGCGAGGGGGCAGCACCTGCCTCATTGGAGGGGAGGATACTGCCCTTCCTGTGAGTGGTGGCCACTTCAAACTGGAGCCCCTCCTCCTTCCAGGAGTGCCCGCCGGATGGGAGGAGCTTCCGAGAGGAGCAGTGCGTCTCCTTCAACTCCCGCGTGTATGACGGGCGGACCTACCAGTGGAAGCCTCTGTACCCAGGTATCTGCAGCCCTGGGAACCTACCCTGAGTGAGTGGGGTGACCCTCATGACCTCCAAGGCCAATCCTGACAGGTGAACAGGTAGGGAAACTGAGGCTGGGAGCAGGTATCTTGCCGCAGGCCACTGCTCTAGAGCCAGGAGTGGGTCCCACATCTCCTGAGCAGGGGCCTGGGGTCCTCTTCCCCTCCCCATGCCTGTGATAGGGAAGATCTTGGGGCAGAGCTTCCGGTAGGCTTGGCTTCCAAGGTCGGGACTCTCCCACTTCTGGCCAGGAGCTTGGACAGGAACCAGCCCAGACAATCCAAGACTGGCTGTGGTCCCGCAGGGCTGGGGGAGGAGGGTGATGGCTGTTTTCTACTGTCTCAGTCTCCTGGGGAGAGGAAGCAAGTTGTTCAGACGACAGTGTAGACTGTAGCCGAGTTGGCCTCTCCTGCTTCCTGGGGCTGCTGTGCCCTGGGGCTCCATGCCCTTGGGCTCTGAGGCCTGGAGTTGGCTCAGCAGGTCTCAGTTGTTGCCCTGAGCCCATAAGAACTGCCGCTGAGACCCCGAGGTCCCTTCTGCACTCCTGGCCTCTATTTCCCGTGTGAGGTGGGAAGGTTCCTGTCCAACGGGAGGGGAGGGCCAGTGCCCTCTCTCCACGCTGAGCCCTCGCTTCTCCCCCAGATGACTATGTGCACATCTCCAGCAAGCCCTGCGACCTGCACTGCACCACAGTGGATGGCCAGCGGCAGCTCATGGTGTCCGCCCGTGACGGCACATCCTGCAAGCTCACTGACCTGCGAGGGGTTTGCGTGTCTGGAAAATGTGAGGTTGTTAAACACTGCAGCGGAAGTCCAGCTAGTTACAGGGCGCCGGCCGTGCTGGCCGCCCGGGCGGTGGTGGCCGTGCCCTGTGCCCCCCAGCAGTGTCTCCCTGCTTCTTGCAGCCCATCGGTTGTGACGGGGTGCTGTTCTCTACTCACACGCTGGACAAGTGCGGGGTCTGCCAGGGCAATGGGAGCAGCTGCACCCACGTGACCGGAAACTACCGCAAGGGCAATGTGCCCCTTGGTAAGGCTGCTCCTGTTCCAGCTTCCTGGGGAGTTGGGCGGGGCCCTGTGGGGCCCCTCTGACCAGCAGCATCGGTGGCTCTTTGCTAAATGTCCACTGTGCACCAGAGGCCACTTGGCATGACAGTCACATTTGACCTCTGAAGCAGCTACAGGGAGGTGTGACTGGCAGGTTTAGAAAGGGGGAAACTGAGGCACGAGTCCCCGTTTTGAAGCCACTGGGAGACGTTACTGTGGGTGCACACAATGCTGAGTCGGAGTCTCTTCCTCTGGGTCCTGGCCCCTCCCACAATCCTCTGTCCCCAGCAGTGCTGTCCCTCCTCAAAGCACACTTTGTCTTGGCCATGCATTTGTGTCCAGCTCTGACTGGGTCTTCTGCAGGGTCTGGGTGGGTGACAGGCCATTGCAGGTTTGGGAAGATGCCAGTTGGAATGGTCGGGGTGCAGGTGGATGCATTTCTGAGTCTTGGTTGAAGCAGGTCATCCCGGCCTCCAGACCAGGGGAGGCAGGGCAGCTTGAAACCTACTGAGTAGATGGGGAAACTGAGGCCAAGCAAGCCTGGACTAGTATCAGTCCTGTTGGGGCCACCTGTCAGTCCAAGAGTTGGGGTTGGTGTGGACCTAGTGATGGAGCAGGAGGCTGGATTTGAATGTGGAACCTCAGCAGGGCATGCTCGGCCAAGGGACAGGGAGGGAGGGACTGGACAGAGCAACTGGACTCAGTGAGTATTGTGTGTGTTGGGCGTCTCACCAGGCAACCTAGGGACCCGAGCAGGTGGTGCAGAAGCGGAGCCTCCTGCCACATGTCTGCCCCCACAGCCTTCTGCTGGCCTGGGCACGGAGGTGGGGACCAGCAGTGGGCAGTGCATCTCTCGCCCAGCTCCTGGAAGGTGCCAGGCTCTGTGGGTGGCAGTGAGGCCCTGCTTGGGGCCGTGTCTGGCTGAGCTCCCCATGAGGAGTCGGGTGTTGGCATGGAATCCCTCCCTGCTGATCCTGCCAGTGCCTCCGTGCCAGGCAATGTGCCAGGGCTGGCAGAATGGTGACAAGACAGGTAAGAAGGCTGCAGCTAGACGTGTGGGACAGACAGAGGCGAGGAGTCACCTAAGGTCCCACAGCCACAGGGTGGGGCTGCAGCGGGGTCTGTGTCCTGGCCGCCAAGCCACCTGCAAGCTTCTGACCCACGGGTGCTTGTGCCACTGCGAGGGCCGAATGACCCTCCCTGGGAGGTGACCTAGGAAGGAGCTCCAAGTAGTAAATGCTCGGAATCTCACAGGGCTCTTTGGGAATTCCAATACTAAAGCGTGGAGTCTGAAGTTAAATAAAAGCCGTTGACATGAGGTGATCACTTCCTGGTCCTCATCCTGACTGGCTGTCACTTTATGGTGGGAATATCACGGACAGGAAGTTATCCCGACTCTGCCTGGCTCCATCCCATGACTCCGTGGTAATTTGTGAGTAGTCACGGAGACAGAGTGTACGCCACAGAAACAGCTGACGGGGCTATCTTAGGGCCTCACATTTGGCCCCTGCAGACCCTGCTGCGAATCATTTATCAGAGCTGCAGGCCCGAGGGTCAGGCCAGGACCCTCGGGGCCCTTGGGATGAAGGGGGGCCTGGGAGAGGGGCAAGTTAAGACAGCGTGCTCGAGTGCAGAGGAACTCAGGGCAGGGGCCCCTCATTTCCTGCTGGCTCCTCTGTACTAGCCACTCTGTGCCTGCCGTGGCTGCCTCCCCTCTAGGCCATCCTGGGGAAGGGTACAGGTGGTTACAACGAGGCCTTGCAGAGTGGACAGGCTCCATCTGCAGGTCTTCTAGCTTTGCCATCAGCCTCGATTTGTGACAAGATGGATTTAGAAGCTCCGAGGTGACAGTGCAGAGCAGATGGGGTTGTGCTTGTGACAGATGAGGAAACTGAAGCTCAGGGACTCAGTAGGTGTAGTGGAGGGCAGGACTGAGGTCGGTGATACCAGTGTTCGAGGCCCCTGAGAGGGAAGAGCTAGGGTCAGCACCAACACCATTCCCATGGCCTTGATGGGGTTGGGTCCGGTGCCCAAAGAGGGGTCAGCACTGGGACATCACAGGGTGATTGCAGGGCAGGAGCCCTGTGCGCCCTTAGACAGCTGGCTCCCCCATAGCTCAGCACGGTACCTGCCCTGCAGTGGGACCCTCCTCTCTGCACATTCCTCTAGGCCATGTCTCCCATGCGGGCTCTGCTGGGCTGTGACCCCCTTGCCGTTCATTGTCTGTGTGCCTGCAGGTTATTCCCTGGTGACTCACATCCCAGCCGGTGCCCGTGACATCCAGATCGTGGAGAGAAAGAAGTCAGCTGATGTCCTAGGTGCGTAGCTGGCACTGGGGCAGTACCGACTGACAGAGGGGGCACCTGGATGGACACCCTGTTTTGGGAGAGGGCCGAGCCAGGTAGTGGGGTGGTGAGAAGTGACTTGACCCTGTGTGGGAGACCCTTGGACAAGACTGAGGAGTGAGCTCCCCATCACTGGAGGGCCTGGCCCAGGCAGAAACTGGGCTGCTGGAGGTGGAGCCCCTTGAAAGAATGTGAAGAGTGTGCACACGAGCTAACAGGTCGGATAGAGCAGAGGAGGCAAGCGATGTCCAAGGTTATGAACCAAAGAAGCAGAGGGCAGGCTCAAGCCCTGGCTGGCCCTGCGTGCCTCTGCCCTTGCAGTCTCCCCCAAAGCTGGGCCTGGGAGGGGAGCCCATTGCCACACAGATTCGATTTATTTGCGCTGTGGGGTGGGGGGTGGGGGAGGCAGTGACACTGTCTAGGTGGTGATTTTTGGGTGGGTCGTCTGTCAGGCTAGAGAGTTGTGGCCCCTGCGCCTGACGTGCAAATGCCACCCACCCCCATGAATTCTTTGGTGCTTGATCGAGAACCTGTACCTTACAGGGAGTGGCTGTGTGAGTGCCAGGGCTGTCGTGTGAGACTCTTTCTCCCAAGGTGTCAGGAGGGGACTGACCTTGGTGCAGCCCCTGAGGCCCCCACCCCAGCCCTGGCTCTGTGTGCCCCTGGTCCCAGGTCTCCCCACCCCAGGGACAGCTTCGGCTGGGCTGGAGGAGCTGGGCTTCTCGCCAGGACGGTGGCTCTGAGGCTCCCACTTAGTCTGTCCCAGGGGAGCGGCGAGGCCAGGAAACACCGCCGAGTTCCCCTTCTGGCTGCAGAGCTCCCTCCTAGAGACAGACACGTGGAATGCCAAGGGCTGCCTTGGAGCTCCGGGAAAGCCGCAGGCGGGAGGCCCTCACTGTCAGGAAACAGCGCCTGGACACGGCCCCTGGCTTGTACCTGATGCTGGGCCGGGACGCGCTGCCCCGGCAGCTCTCAGCCTCTGCGTTATTCTCTGACGTCACCGAGTCGGGGCATTTTCCAGGCAGACACGTCCTGCATGTTGCGTCTGTCAGATAATAAATTAATTGCCCCGGCTCTTCTGTATTGCATCAGGGACTTTGGAAGCTGAACCGTCCTTCGGCGGCCAGTTTCTGGAACTGCCTTTAAGGACACCCTTTGGAAGACAGAGTGTCCCTGAGTGCCGTCCGCCTCCTCCAGCCCCTCCCATCCCTGGAGGCCCCTGGGCACTTCTACCCCAGGAGGATGGGCTCTGGGCTACTGTCCCTGATTTTGGGCACAGGGGACAGGCTGGTGGGGTCACACACATTCCTGTGGCTCCAGCTGGGCCTTGGGAGTGTCCTCCCCATAGCCGCCTCCAGGAGAGGGAGCAGAGGTGCCCAGGCCTTCACCTGTCTAATTTAACCCTGCCAGCCCTCGGCCCCTGGGCAACACAGGGTGACAGCATAGGAGTGATAGCAGAGGTCATTACTCTCATCAGGAGCTGGTCAGCTGGGGGAGGGGTCCCAACAGGGCCTGGTGGACAGAGCCTCACGTCTGCCAGGCCAGGGCTGCAGCGTCACTTCCGTGGGTCCTGATGAGGCAAGGAGGGGAGGTCCTTCCTCATTCTCCAGGCTGCGCCCGGCCCCAGGCTACCTGCCTCTGCCGAGAATGCATGCCTTCCACAGGCTTCTGGCCCTTTTGTCCACGCTGGCCACCGGGCTGTGACACCAGCTAGTGCCTTGCAGCCCCTCAGCTCAGAGTAGCTGAGTAGCCCCACACAGGTGGGCCAGGGTGACTGTGGGCTAACAGAAAGGGGTTTGTGTCCCCAGCCCTCAGTGGCCCAGGCAGAGGACCTGTCTCCTTCCCTGCAGCTGTGTGGGCCCTGTCTCAGTGGGTCAGGGTCAGGGTGGGGCTGCCCGTGGCTCTCCTGCTCCTCAGGGCCTTCCCACCAGCCTGACCTGCAGTGTCGCCTTTCCAGCTCTGGCTGACGAAGCCGGTTTCTACTTCTTCAATGGCAACTACAAGGTGGACAGCCCCAAGAACTTCAACATCGCTGGCACCGTGGTCAAGTACCGGCGGCCCATGGATGTCTACGAGACGGGCATCGAGTACATTGTGGCGCAGGGGCCCACCAACCAGGGCCTGAATGTCATGGTGCGTGTGTGGGGCTGGGGGTGGGCTGGGGAAGTGTGGGTGGGCTGCGCAGGCTGAGACCTTGGCAGCCTTGCCATGAGTACCCGGGGGTTGTCACACCTGTCTGCTCAGGCCGCCGCTCATCCAGTCACTGAGGGACTTATGCACTTGTTCCTTTCCATTGGGTCCCTTGTCTGCTGTCCACTGGGATCGGAATTCATTCTCTGTCTCCCACAAGCTCGTTCATCCACTCCTCTGCCCCCTGCTCACTCATCACCACGCACTCACCCTCTCACTGCTCCCCTTAGTCTGTCCTTCCTTAGCTCATTCATTCATTGGTCCATTTGCTCATTTGTTTGTTCAGCTGGTCATTCATTTGTTCATCCATTGTCCCCTTCCTTCTGTCTTTCCTTCTTTACTTCCTTCCTTCCTTCCTTCTTCCCTCCCTCCCTTTCTTCCTTCCTTCCCTCCTTCTGTTGTTCACCTTCCAGTGCTGCTGTAGCTCCTGTGGACTGGCATTCTGGGACCTCTGTGCTGACCCATCCTCTGCTCACTAGAGACCCACGGGAGCCTGAAAGGAGGCTTAACCTCTTCATAACCCACAGTTGGCGTTGATGCCCCCCAGCTCCAGCTTGCTTGGTTGACACTGTGGGGACCAGGATGGAGCTTGTGTCCTCCAGCCCCATCCCTCCAGGATGCCCAGGGTCCTTGGTAGGCTCCTGGCCCAATGGGGGCAGCAGGAGAACTCGGGTGTCGGGGTCGCTCCCGGCCGGCAGGAAAGACACACGACAAAGTCTGGCGGTGTGCAACCTTGCCTTTATTTGTCTCCGCGTGGGCCCCGCGAGGCCTCCGCTCTGTCACCAGCCCTTTCTCGCCGGTAGACTTTTTCTATCTCTCTCGTGCTTCTTCCTCGTGGCGGGAGAGGCATTTACTTTTATAGGGCAACAGTAGCCAATCAGTTCAAAGCGCGCGATGCGGGCTGACTGGCTAACATCAGCTGTTGCTAGGCAGACTATCTTACAGAGCGGGTTGTTTAAGTCGCCAGCGCAATCAGGGGGCAGGAAGCAGGCGCCAACTTGGCTCACTCGATGGGAGGGGCAATCTAGCTCAGGCTCCGCTCCCACCCACAGGCCCTACGTCCGCCAAGTAAGGCGACCGGTGTCGGCCACGGCTCCCAACATCTCCCCCTAATTTATTTACTTTGAATGAATGTATGCATCGCAGCCCGCCCTGGATCGAGTGCAGAGGCTTATGCCCTGTGTTGAGGCCCACCGTAGGCCCTTGGCTTGGACCCTGGTCGGCCGCCCCCGGGTCCGCCAAGGCCTTGAGACCCTCGTCCTTTTTCCAGGGCCAGGAGTGAACTGGACGGAACCTGGATGCACATAGGCATGCACTCATGCCCCTCTGTGTGATCCCCTCGGAGAGGCATCTAGATCTGGGCAGATTCTAGTAATCCAGCGGCTTTCGTGCAGTATGGGGTAGGGCCTGGCTTAGGTCGAGTCGTGCTGGGGAGGCACGCTCTTACCCGTCATTGACTCACCCACCCTGCTGTGTGGTGTCAATAGGGAAGGAATGCGGAAGACCCGCCACATCTAGACCCGGTCGTAGGCCAGTCGAGCGAGCCATGCGTAAGCCTGGGGGTCATTGTGCCCATCACGGGCTGCTGCCAGGGCCGCATGGGCAACCAGGCGTACTTGACGCCGGGCCGCCGCAAGGCGCCCATTAATAAATGATGTAACCCATCGGAGCAAGAATGGTCCTACAAGTAAGAACAGAAGCAAGGAGCACAGGGGACCTAACAATGGTAAAACATAGGGGAGCAAGCCATTCCAGGCTCCCCAAAAAGGGATTGTCCTGCAGTTCTTTTAGGGCTCATCTTGTTGTTGGGTCTGCGGTTGGCCCCTGGTGGAACAGGCCTGATCTTCAGTCAAGGGACTTGTCGCGTCAACCTCTCTGGGACCCACAGTGGTTTTCGTCCCGGTTCCTGCGGAAAAACACAAACCGCGCCTCGGTTCCAGCTAACCACCGGATCCGGGCCCATCCATTGTCATGCCATAGATAACCGCGCCTTTGGAGGCAGGCCTTGGCTTACTCCCCCTTTTTATTTTTTATTTTTTATTTTTATTTTTTTATTTTTGGTCTTTTTCGTTTTTTTTTTTTTTTTTTTTTATCGGTACCAGGGATCGAACTCGCGATTGCCTGCTTACAAGGCAGGCGCTTATGCCGCTGAGCTAAATCCCCAGCCCCCGTTTCCTCGACCGGCGTTTTTCTCAGCCTGCTCGGCAGAGTAGCCGCCCATGAAAATACCGTCCGCCCCGCGGCGCAACGTCATAGGACGGCGGTCCTGACAGAGTGGAACGGGGCGTCACTTCCTGTGCCGGCTGAGAGAAGGGAGGGTTCCCTGTAGCGGCCTCTCGGCGGGGAGCCGCTTCTGGAGAAGAGCTCCAGGGCGGAGCGGATGGCTCTCTATCTCCTCCCCGCCAGAGAGCGCTCGGGGGTCCTTTTTCCTCTCTCTGCTTTTTTCGAGCGGCGCACGCACACAATTCGCGGCGCAACTCGGCATAGGAGTCAAGGCACGCATGTATCATTTCCCACAGGGGGCGAATAGCCGGCGAAATATCGCCTCCCAATTCCGCCGAGGCGAGGTCCCCGCCTAACTTCTCCCATGACGGCAGGTTTAAATGCCCTGTGGGTAAAAACCAGGGAGCCACCCTATCTACCTCCGCTATAAATAGTTTCAGTGTTTTTTGACCTACCCTGAGGTCTCTAGCTTTTAAAAGCTTCTTAAGGGCCTTTACCAAGGGCCGCGCCTCCGCGCTCGGTAAATTACCCATCTCTAACCTCTAAGGGCTATAACTCACCGCGTGTGACTTAAAGAACCCGTCACCTACGCGTGAGCCTGAGGGGAGTCTAAAAGCCCTGTAGGTGCGCGCCACCCAGAGCCCAGGCTTATCCCCAACTCACCTGTCCGGCAGCACCACGCTGGAGCGTTGCACACCACCGCCGTGTCTCGGGGTTGATCAGTCCCCGTGCGGGTCACCAAATGTCGGGGTCGCTCCCGGCCGGCAGGAAAGACACACGACAAAGTCTGGCGGTGTGCAACCTTGCCTTTATTTGTCTCCGCGTGGGCCCCGCGAGGCCTCCGCTCTGTCACCAGCCCTTTCTCGCCGGTAGACTTTTTCTATCTCTCTCGTGCTTCTTCCTCGTGGCGGGAGAGGCATTTACTTTTATAGGGCAACAGTAGCCAATCAGTTCAAAGCGCGCGATGCGGGCTGACTGGCTAACATCAGCTGTTGCTAGGCAGACTATCTTACAGAGCGGGTTGTTTAAGTCACCAGCGCAATCAGGGGGCAGGAAGCAGGCGCCAACTTGGCTCACTCGATGGGAGGGGCAATCTAGCTCAGGCTCCGCTCCCACCCACAGGCCCTACGTCCGCCAAGTAAGGCGACCGGTGTCGGCCGCGGCTCCCAACACTCGGGCCTGTCCCGCATGGCCTGCATGGCTGTTGCTGTGACTGGCAACCAGAGGCCATGCTGCTGCAGCCTGGTGCCGGGCCCTGGGCACACATGCAGGACTCAGCCAGGAGTCAGCGGCCCTGGGCAGGCAGTTCTGGTGCCAAGGCATCTCTCTCTAAGTGCATTTGATTTGGCCGCAGCAGCTGCAGAGACAGGCTGGCCCCTGGTGTGAGGAGGCTGCAGGTGTGGGGAGAAAGTGTGGTGCTGGAGGGCTTGGGGCCAGGGTCTCTGGAGCAGCCCCAGGAGACAGAAGGAGTCGGGCAGAGAGAGATGTGGGCCTTAGCTTTCCGGCCATCCATGCTAACTTGGGCTGGGCGTGGGGTTGGAGTGCAACTGATCCAGAGTACCTCCCCGCTGGGGAAGGGCCCGGGGTGTCAGGGCTTGGCTGTAGACTGTTGTTGATCCCTTTCAAGTGGCCCACTGAAGGATGGGCTGCGGCCACATCCGCAGGCATCTCCTTTGCTATCCAGTGGCCCGCTGGCTGCGGGACGGTGCTGCAGGAAGTTCCCGCGGATTCAGCCAGCTGGGGTCCTTGGTGTGGAAGAGGCTGGAGCAGTCTTTGTGAGCTGCGGCCACACCACCTGGCCTCCATGCCTCCATCAGAGGTGACCAAAGCCAGAGGCTAGCCTGCATCAGCAGGCAAAGCCGTCTGTCCATTATGTGGCTGTTTGGTGGTCTGGGCCAGGTTTATGTGTGTTCCCTCTTGACCCACAGCCCGGCTCTTTGCCTGGCCCCAGAATCCAGGATGCAGCCTGTATAGAGGGTGATGGCACTGGGGCATTGCTTCCTTCCTTGTCCAAGGGGGCATCACTAGGCAGACCTGGGCTGCCTACCAAGCTGGCCTGTTTTGAAGTCTGGCCATTTCTCCACCGTCACCGTCACCTGATCACTAGTGTCCCCCTGAGCAGTCCTGGCCATGAGCTCTGAGGTATTTTGCTGCAAGAGTGGTGTCAGTTGGGTCACTGCTGGTGCAGCTCTCATGGCCTCTGGCCTGACTGTGCCTCACCCTGGGTGATGGACTGCCAGGGGTCCTGGTCATGTGCAGTCAGAGGGTTCCCCTCGAGAAGTGGGCTGGAGTCGTTCTCAAATGATGTGCATTTATTTGCTGCAAGGTGGCCCGCTGGAAACTCCAGGTCTCCTGGCCACAAGGCTGGCCACGTGTACCATGGCCAAGACCGTGCAGGGTCCATCCCGCTCGGCCTTCTGCCAGAGGTAGCGGCATTTTGGTCTCCCACAGGTGGTGGACCAGTGTTCCTGGATGTGGAATCCTCCTCGTGGTGGGGGTGGGAGCTGCAGGAATCTCTCCTACTTTTAGGGGAGCAAACTGTGAACCCTGAGACTTTCACTAATAGGGCTGAGTCTTTTTAGTGTTGAGTCTCTGGCCATTTGGAGAACGTGAAGGCCTCATGTGTCCCTCCTGATCTGATAGACACAATGCCATTAATGTGGAGGACTGGGCACTGGGTCCTGTGGAGAGGCCAGTGCTTGTGACTTGTCATGACCAGGAGCAGGTTGCTCAGGGTCACTGCTGTGCATGTGTGTTCTGTCCATCGGGTTTGTTGGATATACTCCCTCTCTGTTTTTTTTTTTTTTTTTTTTTTTTTTTTGTACTAGGAATTGAACTCAGGACCCTGCACTTGCCAGGCAGGAGTTGTGCTACTGAGCTGTATGCTCAGTCCCTACTCTCTGTGAATGGACACTGCTCTGGGACTCCCCAGCTAGGGACAGGAAAGAATCCACTGCCAGTTTAGTGGCCATGAGTGGACTCTGGAAAGGGGAACAAACTAGAGCCTGCAGGGGCTGAGACCTGGTTGGGCCATACAGAGCACAGTCACACTTAGTGACAGGTCCACTGGGGTGAGGATCCTCTAGGACATGACACATGGCACTGAGGCCTGCCATCACCCCAGGATGTGCTTCTGTCTTAGGTTTGCTCCTGTGTGGGACCAGGGCAGAGGCATCATGTACCTCATCACAGGGACAGCTACAGGGTTGGTGTGAGGGTTCTTCCAACCAGTTGTACTTCTGGTGACAGGGACCCAGTGGGCCAGCGACATACTGTGAGCGCTGCAGGCCACAGTCACGGTGCCTGGGGCCCTGGTTACCAGTGAGAACTTGGACCCTGGCTCTGGGACCTCCACCCATTTCTCCAGGGAACAGCACCCAGGTTAACCACTGCCACCCTCTGGGGAGAAGCTGGGGATTCATCGCTGTGTGACCCAGGGGTCCCACATGAGCTGCCTGCCTTATCCTGTGGCTCCTGGGTCTGAAACCAGGCTCACAACTTAAGGGCAGTCCAGTGGCCTTGCATGGTATGCCTGTCCCGGCCTCCTGACCTCCACCTTGATCTATTCTGGTCACATGGGTTGAGCAGCACCTTTTCAGCCTCATCTGTCCATCCCCGATGGGTGCTTTGCTTGTCATCCTGTTGGCCACGTGCCGAGTTCTCCGTGGCCCAGGACCTGGGTGCCCATGCCTGCCACTGCTTACTGAAACATGTGTGCCCGCCTTGCTTCCACTGCCTTCATGATCTCAGGTCCCTGTCACTGCCCCCACTGCTGGGGGCTCGGTTTGTAGTGGCCTCTCCTGGTGCCAGCCTGGCCTGTGGGGACACCCAGAGCTGTCCCTGAGTGATGCTGGTGTCATCTCACCACGGCATTTCTTTCCTTGCTGGCGAGTAGAATGTCCTCCATGCTGCCCACAGAGCGCAGTCCCTGGGGGCTCGCAAGCCTGTGAACCACTTCCCTTCACCTGCCCTCTCTTAGTGTCCACCCTGTGCTCCAGGCTTCCCAGGGCTTCATGCCCGGTCAGCCTGGACACATCCAGCAGCCCATACTTCCTTCTTGGGGCTTTCCAGATGGAGCAAGGAGGGGACTCAGGTTGAGCTGTCATTCTGGCAATCAGCAGTCCTAGGGGGTGGGCTCTGTCCAGGGCTCGAGGGATTGGGAGGAGAGGTCCCTGTGCCAGCTTCCAGGGAGGCCCAGAGGCCTGGGGCATCAGACTTCATGCATTCTGAGCCTCGTGACTCAGGTCTCTGAGTTCCTACACTCAGGTCTGCCCCAGTCTTTGGGCCTCCTCTGCCCCTTCCGCCCTCAAGCTGTAGCACTGAACTGTCCTGGGCTCCCACTCTGCAGCCACCCTCTGCCCCATCTTCACCGCTGTGGGTTCCAGGCTTCCCTGTGCCTTCTAGGCCCTAGCCAACACCAAAACCATGAGCTGTCACCTCACGTCTCCCTGAAGGTCTCCCATCTGTCTGGCTCACTGCTGCCTTCTGGAGCCTCAGAGCTTTGCCCAGAGCAACAGACCCTCATGGCCCCCAGGAGGTGTTGGCTGATCCCACTCCAACTCTATTTCAGAGCAAGCTTCAGGGTAGAGACTGGGCTGGGGGTAGAGGGCCCTGGGCAGAGAGGCGAGGCTGTCCCATGGTGCCCGCATAGGTCTGGGCCCCACCAAGGGGAGCTCTGCAGCCAGGCTGTGCCTCCCCAGGGTTTTCATGGGGAGGGGGTAGAGCCCCTGTGTCCCTGCACAGGACCTCTGGTACACATGACCAAGATGTGCAGGGCGGCTTCCATCCTAGGAAGCTCTCTGGCTCGTTACTGCCTATGCTTGGACCTCACTCGGAGTATCTGTGCACTGGGCCCCGTGACCTTGCGGGGGGCAGTGCCCTCGGGCCCACGGCACTCAGCAGGGCTGTGAGAGGTGGGGGTCTCACGGCTACTCCTCCCCAGGTGTGGAACCAGAATGGCAAGAGCCCCTCCATCACTTTCGAGTACACCCTGCTGCAGCCCCCGCCTGCACGCGGCCGCCCGTCTGTCTACTACAGCTTCTCCGAGCCTGCCTCAGCCTCCACCAGCGCTGAGAGCCAGGAGCTGGCCAGTGCCGGGCTCCTGGGCTTCCTGCGGCACAACGCCTCACTGTACGGCCCAGCCTCCTCTGAGCAACTGGACCTGAACAACCGGCTTTTTGGCCCCCAGGGCTCTGAGGTGGACCTGGGCCTCCGTCCGGGCCAGGAGACCAACGAGGTGTGCGAGCCGGCCAGCAGGGGGGCCTGCCAGGGGCCCCCCAGGGGCAAGGGCTTCCGAGGTAACCAGGAGACCCCTTGGGCAGTGGGCAGGGCAGGGCCTCAGGGCATGGAGGCCGAGGGAGGTGACTCAGCCCTGTCCAGTCCCAGAGGGGGTCTCAGGAGGTGCAGGTCGCTTGCACACTCGGGTAGGCCCAGTGCGAATCCTCTGAGGTACACAGTGGTCCCTTGGTGTCCATGGTCCTGTCTGGCACCCAAATTCCCAGAGGTCTTAGGGCCCCGCAGCAGTGCTGTGTCATCAGAGCGGACTCACCTGGGTCCCTGGTGTGGTTGTCTTAGGTGACTTGTGACACTGATCCAGCTTGTGGGTCAGGCCAGCAGCTGGGTTGTTAGAGACCAGCCATGGCAGATAAAGATCCAGACCTGCTTCTCCCTGAGTGTTTCTGAGCCCTGAGTTGTGGAATCCAAGGAGTTGGAACCCAAGAGGCAGAGGGAGATGTGAACACTGCCCAACTCTCCCAGGAGCACACGGAGGCTATTGTGGGAGCTAATTGACAAGGTCACTGCGTCACCCTGGAGGAGCCTGGGCTTGGGGTGACCAGCCTTGGGGCTGCTATTATAAGGGGGCACCCAGTGCCTGCCAGATGGGAGTGACCCCTCTCATTCCTGCTTGTGTCACACAGCCTCCCCTCTGGGTCATCTCTTCTTTGGTCAGTTAGGGCCACCCAAAATCTGGAATGGTTTCATCTCCTGGTCCTTCACTAACCCCATGGACAAGGACCCTTCTTCCAAATCAGGTCATGTTCAGTGTCCAGCTGGGCATGTGCTTTGGGGGGACCCTGTCCAGCCCACTGTGGAACCCATGAGTCTCAAAATCGAGTCAGAACTGTTAATACTTCCCACTCCAAGACCTTGAGAAATTGGGTCTTTTACTTTTTTGGTCTTCAGAAATAGGGATTGAAGCCAGGGCCTCCACATGGAGCTACACCCCCAGCCCTCTTGTGTTCTTTTATTTTGAGACAGGGTCCAATTAAGCCATTACATTGCCCAAGCAGGGTTTCAATTTGTGATCTTCCTGCTTCAGCCTCCCAGAGTGCTGGCATGACAAGTGTGTGCCACCATGCCTGGCTTCAAATTGTATCTTGCTGAGCAGGAAAGATTCTTCCAGGAGTGTTCTAGTTCTCTCATCCTAGGGAGGGACTGGCCATGCTGGATTCCTGCAAGTGGCAAGGTGGCCAGCGTTCCCACAGTGCCGGCAGCTCGAAGTCCACCTGCTCATCTCTCTGCAGACCGCAACGCCACTGGGACGGCGCTCGCAGGAGACAAGGATGACCCAGAGGCAGATGTTCATCTCACCTCCCAGGAGTTCCTCTCAGCCAACGTCATCTCTGACCAGATCCTGGACACAGGATCTGACTCCAAAGAGTTTGTCCTCAACGAGACAGGGAACAGCATCTTTGCTCAGGGCGCCCCCAGGAGCCCTGAGCCCGAGAGCCTCTACATGGATTATGAGGAAGGGGAAGAAGCTGCCACTCACCTAGTCAATGGGTCCTACTTAGAGCTGAGCAGCGACAGGGTCACAAACACCTCCTCCGAGGCCCCATTTCCCAACACCAGCGCCAGCCTCCCCGCACCGGCCGGAAACAGGACTCACAAGGCCAGGTAGGGGTGCTTCCGTCCTGTGTGGGTCCCAGGCAGAGTTGCCTTGCAGGGACCTGGCTAGGAGGATCCTGAGATGAGTGGGTCAGTGCCACTTGCCTGGCGCCTTCTGGGTCTGAGCGTCAGATCCTAGACTGGCGGCGAGGTGTCCCCTGCTGTGGTTTCCCCGGCATCCAGTTGCTGAAGCTGAGTATGGAGCTGTCAGCTCTGAGCTGGCCTTGGGGCAGGGACAGGGAACCTGAACAGACTGTGGCATCCTGCTTCTAGGGCTCTGGGGGACAGCCACCTCAGAGTCCTGGGCCTGCAGCATAGGGTGTGGCAGCAGGAGGGACACAGAATCCCTTCCCTAGGCTGAGAACACAGGAAGGGTCTGGAGGTCCCACTCAGGGTGCCCTGTAGCAGGGTTTGGGACCAGGCTAGAGCTGTAGCTGGGAAAGGCTGGGAGAGCCACTGGGCCCTGGACATAAGGGCTGGGAACATCTGGTTGGCCAAGCCTGGGGACAGCTGGACACTTGTGACTATCCCTGGAGGGGCCTGAGTTGCTGCACACCCCCAGGTTGATGTGGGCTGGCTTCAATGGCCTCAGAGCTGCTGTCCAGAATGGAGGACAGTCCCTAGTGACCACACCTCCAGGCCACCACCCTTCTTTAGAAAGCCCCGGGGTCAGTGTGGCCAGTGTGAACGTGGGGCTGGTCTCTGTAACCTCTGCAGGTGCAGGATTGGCATGTGTGGGCATTTGGCTTTCCTTCTGTGACCTGGAAGCCTGGCTGCCCAAGCCCTTGGACTTCAGACTGGGCAAGAGCTGAACTCTGGCAGGGCTGGAGATGCTGAGGCCGGGGTCCTTGGGATCAGTTTGATGGGAGATTTGGGGTGATGGGTTTTGGGCTACCTTCTTCTTCATTCCCAGGGCCCTAGGGTGACAAGGTGGCCTATCTGTGAGCCAGAGAGACCAGAACACAGGATGGAAAGACGGGGACCCCAGGGCACTACAGATGACCTGCATGGCCTTCTCCATGCAGGCAGGGAGGCCTCTGTGTCTACTCCACTTCCCAGAGGTGGCATGGGACCATCTGGTCCCTTGACCCTGCACCCTCAAGGCTTCTGGGGGTGGGGCCTTGGTCTACTTTGGGAGACCCAGTGGGGTGCCAGGTCTGAGTGAGAGAGACATGTGTGACACACAGGAGAGGCTTGATGTGTCAAAACTGCAGTAGGACCAATCCTGCTGGGTAGGGAGGGTCTCCCAGCACCCACAGCCTGGCTCAGAGATGGAGTGGACTGGGGGCAGGGCCCCCTTAATCTGGCTTCCCGTGTCATGGAGAATCAGCACGTTTGGCCCTCTTCTGGGCCTCAGTTTCCTTGGCACCCTCCTGCCTCTGTGGAGGTGCCATACTGGGTCCTTGCCTGTCCCTAGAGCTGCAGTCAGTGCCCAGAAAGACAGGCCCGACTCTGCTCTGCGGCTGCTTGCCTGGGCCAGCCAGGCGCCATCCAAGGTGCTGCCAGAGGGGACCAGAAGTGGTCTGGAGAGATAAAGGGCTGCGAAGAGGCCGCTGGGAAACTACCAGGCCAAAATAGCCTCGGCTAGGGTTTGTCCAAACAGGAAGTGGTGTCTCCTGGGGAGCGGTGAAATCAAAGGGGCAGCCCAGAAAGGAAGGGCTATTTTCATCTTCTTAGAGAGCTTCAAACAATCAAGGGCGGGGAGGCATCACCAGATGCAACTTGGATGTCTGAGAGCCATCTGAGACACACACACACACACACACACACACACACACACACACACACACACACACTCAGGCCTCTCTGAAGCTCTAGGAGGAAGACGAGGAAGACAGATCTCTGGTTCGTTTATAAACAAACACAGTCATTTCAGGCTTCTGCTGCCGGGGATATAGGAGCCCAAGTCCACCAGGCAGCTGGGCAAGAACCCAGAGGTTGTGACAGACGGGTATCCCCCCGGATGGAGGTGGGCAGCCTGGTGATCCCCGGGGGCTCTGCTCCATGCTCCTTTCAAGGCAGGGAACCTTCGGCTGCAGTATTGTGCAAATCCGCCCAGGGTTTGGTTTCCGTGCTGCACACCCGTGCCCACACCCCATGTGCTGCAGAGGGGAGGTGGACAGCACCCCCAAAACTGCCGCCTGGGCTCAAGATCCTAAGGGTTATTTTGAACCCGGCAGCTCTCCCTGGGGCGCGGAGTGAGTCCGCTGCTCCAGCTGGGAAGTGTGTAATTAGATGAAGATGGCGGTGCTTTGCCCATGGCGGGGCGGGGCGCGCGGTTTGTCACCCCTTCTGCTCTTAGGGAGAATCTAAACCACAGAAAGCAGGGTGGGAGCCATCTGCATAGCTGCACTTTCTGAACGGAGCCTGAGGGCTGGTTCTCCGTGTTCTTTCCTCCTAAATGGATCTGCCCACCCAGATTGGGGCTGCAGTGGCACCAGGGAGCCGTGGTGCGGGGCTTGTTCCCTGCGCTCCTGTTGGGAGCTCATTTCCGGGGCCATCAGAGCGTGACTTGCTATCAGGGCAATGTGCATCCCACATGCTCTTCCCCCTGGGAAGTATGAGCCCCAATCCAAGCAAAACCAAGGGCTGTTTGCACCCATGTGACTCACAGCCAGCTCCGGTTCACCCAAGACGATGACATTGTCAGAGTCACCCAGATGGCAGAAGACACAGTCTGAGCCCTGGGGATCCCCAGGGAAGGTCCCCATGTCAGGCTGAGAAGGGGCCAGAGGACCACGCTCTTCAGCCAGCTGGGCCTGGGCAGCGGTGGTCAGCAAGTCCAGCTCCCCACACCTTCCCTGGCTACAGCATGCAGGTCTCCCTGGGGTCTAGCACCGGCAGATGCCCTGGGTTGCCCCCTCTGTCCCCCGTGGGATCCAAAAAAAGCCTGTGTGGGGGACATGGAGTGGCCTGGGCTCACCGCCTGGTTCAAAGGAGCCAGCAGGCCTAACAATAGTTGGCCTTGGTTGTCCGGGGTCCCGGCCAAGAATCAGCCGGTGGCTGGCTGGGCCCCAGTGGGCTCTTCCAGGGCCAACGGTCTGTGCGGCCCATCTCAACCCAGGCTACAGTGCAGGGCGTGGCTGCTGCATCCACAGCTGTGGTTTGAATTCTGATCACCAGAGGCTGATGGCCAGGGTCCCCATTCTGAGGTAGTGCCAGGGGAGGGAGGGAGCAGAAGGCAATTTCGGGACATTCTTGAACCTTCACATCTTCTGAGATCGCTTCTGGATGTGAGGGAGGCATCCGATGGCCTGGGCAGTGTGGCAAGAAGTCTGGGTGTATGAGTAGAGGTAGCCTAGGTCCTGCCAGCTACCTGGGGGCCACCAAGGCATCAAGGGATGGGAAGGGCTGGTGTCTGTTGGTGTCTCTGGAGTCCATCCCATTCTGTCCCCAAAGGCAGCCGTGGCCTCCCGGGTGGGGTCCCAGGAGGACCACTGGTGTGAGACTGGCTCCTTACTGCCCTCCACCCTCTCCTCTCCTCACCCAGGACCCGGCCCAAGGCCCGCAAGCCCGGTGTGAGCCCAGCTGACATGTACCGGTGGAAGCTGTCATCCCATGAGCCCTGCAGTGCCACCTGCACCACAGGTACTGGCACAGGTGTCACTGGGTATCATGGTGTCATGGGATGCTGTGGGCATGGGCTTCTAGGGGTGGCCTGGTGATATGAGGTTGTGGGCCGTGGTAAGAGCTGGATGTTGATCTCTGGGGGGCTGGGCCGCGGTAGGCCTGGGCTCCGGGCTCACCCAGCTGCCTGTGGGCTCCCTCGCCTGCTGTTGCTGCTGTTTGGTGTTGGGCCTCTAGGAGCAATGAGGAGCCTCAGAGTCTGAGGATTTTGCTTCTGTTGGTATCAAACACGAAAGGAGAGAGGTGGACCCCAAATCCACACCCAAGGGCTTCAGCTAAATCCACACCTTCATTTATGCAGAGAGGAGGAGGGGAGCACAGACCTTTGGGGTGGGGGCACTGGACAGACAGACACAGCTAGGCATTCAGGTAGCCTTGTGCCCTCTTCTCTGGCCATGTGGCTGGCCATCACCCCTGGAGATGCTGACCATGGCCACTGGAGTCTCAGTGGTCTTTGCTCTGGTTTCCTCGTTGGGGAGGTCATAAGATCAGAGGTCACACCAAGATTGGTGCAGGGACACTGGCATAGGAGACCCCAAGGGCCAGTGTTGAGGTCATATTGCATCTCCACTTGGGACTTGATGTTCAGGCCTAGGTGGCCCCAGGCTGCCCCTTGAGGTCCAAGATGTCTCCACCTGACCCAGGTCCCCTAGCAGGCAGAGCTTTGAGCGCCCGAATCTCTGGCCAGTGAGGACTCTGAGCTGTCTGGACCTGGCTGTGCCCTGTACCTCTGGTTGGCATCTCAGCCGGGCCCTGGGGAACAAGGGCCATGTGTCAGGTTCTGTGTGCACCACCAGCCCCTCTGCGGTGGCCTCACTGAGCATCCTCAGGGAGGGGTGCTGAAGGCTCTGTGGGTGCAGCGCTGGGATGGTGTCCCTGCCCTCCCTGTGGACCGGGGCTGTTGGGGTCAGCAGGCAGTGAGAAGCACCTCGACACAGGCAGGCTCTGCAGGTGGGCACTGTCACTGTTCTAGAGGGGGCCCAGGGACCTGGTCCTCACACATGCATGTGATCCTGTCTCTGTGGGGCTGATGGGGGGAGCCCATGGGGCATAGGGTATGGGATTCACTGTCTGTCCAGCCCTGGGCACTTGTGTGTGCCAGGACTGGCCCACTCTGCACCCGACACACCACGGGCTGAGGAGCCGATGTTACCTGGAAATGGAGATGGCTTTGGTGCCCAGGGAACAGCCCTGTGTGGGCAGTGTCCCAGGGAGAACATGGCGCCATTGCCAGGGAATGCCCGGAAGGGGACTGGTCTGGTGAGAGGCCAGGCCTGCTCCTGATGAGGCTGTGGGCGTGGCTGAGAGCTGGGTCCTGGGCCTCTCCAAGCTGCTGTACACTCCGCCCTGGCTCCTTAAACCGGATGCAGGGCCATGGAGGCCGGCTGGCTCTTGTGATGCTTGGGGCCCCACATGGCGTGGTATGTCCACTGATGTCCAGAAGTGGGTCACCACCCCCCATGGTGCCCAGTCCCTGCGGGGGCCAAGGACCCACAAGGAGGACAGTTAGTGGGTGACCCGTGTGTTTGCCCTGTGCTTCAGTGACATTGGGGATCTTGGTTTTTTTCTGAGATGCTCTTTTGGAGCAGCAATGCAGATAGATGAGCTTGGGTCACATGCAGGGCTTTCTGGAATGTTCTTATCCCCATCCTGGGCATAGCAGTGTTGCAGGGTGGGGGGCAGGTGGCAAAACCTGGCTCAGTGGCCACTCACCCTGGCTGTTCTCTGCACAAGGAATGCCCACTGGGACCGTCACCTTCTCCTGGGATGTTCCTGTTCTGGGGTTAACTCACTGAGGCTGGGGGAGTCTTCTGGCCATCAGGGGACCCCAGGTGGGCTTCAGTCTCTCTGGTGCCCCAGCACCAGACCCAGATGGATGAGGAGGAGCCAGCAAATACCCTGGCACTGGGAAGGGTCTGTGGGTTCCCATCCCCATGCACACCTCCCGGTCATGGTTGGTGTCCCTGAGGCCGGCCGGTCCAGGGGGACCTGGTCAGGGCCACCTGTCCTCTGAACAAGTTGAGAGCTGTGCAACCCCAGCTGGGTGGCCATTGAATGACTGGATGAAAGAAGGGCAGCGACACCTGGCTGTGTCTGCCCTCTCCGCATCTGTGGGCCAGGCCGGGCTTGGGGGATGGCCTGGGTGCTGGGGCTGGGTTAGGGTGCTGGAGCTGGGCTGGGTGGAAGAGACGAGGTCCAGCCTGAGGTGCAGATGCTGTGAGAGCAGGGCCAACTCTCCACCATGCACTCACAGCCTTTCCCTTGCCCTCAACCCAGGGGTGATGTCGACCTACGCCATGTGCGTACGCTACGATGGTGTCGAGGTGGACGACAGCTACTGTGATGCCCTCACACGGCCCGAGCCTGTGCACGAGTTCTGCGCCGGGAGGGAGTGCCAGCCCAGGTCATGCTGGGGCCCGCAGGATGCTGGGCTGCATGTGTGCATGTGCATGTGTGCGTGTGTGTTACTACCGCCTGGTAGAGTGTTAGGTGTGTGTGCCAGGGCTCTGCAGGGTGGGAGAAGGGCTGTTCCTAAACTAGATCCTGACTGGCTGTCCTTCCGGTGTCCTTCTGGCACTCTCCTGGTATGGGTGGGACGCACCTTTCTTGCCTCCAGTCTGCTCTTGTGGGCACCAGGTCTGAGTGCCCCTGGGGACCATCAAGCCAGGACCCAAGATGACCCCAGTGATCCCCAGAGCCCATGGGCACTGGACCTATTCCAGTCTGCTTTCTCAGGGCACACCAGCTTCTCCTTGGTACGCATAACCCAACTCAGGGTGGAAAGTTCAACCAGGGCCTCCTGGTTCCCTCACCCCAGCTCCTAGTAGGGGCTCTGGACACTGGAGGTGTCCACTGGTCCCCAGGGAGTGGGACCAGCCCGGGGGTCTGTAGGGAAGGCAGGTGGAGGTGGCTCAGGTCAAGTGGGTCCCCAAAGCCCTGTGGAGGCTTCTGAAGAGGCCCACGCCCCACTCCTTGCTCTCTGGCCTCTGTCGGGGTGAGGGTGTCTGGGGTGGGGGGCAAGGTGGTCCCGCGTAGCAGGCGCTGAGGCTGCCATCCCGCTCCCCACCCAGGTGGGAGACCAGCAGCTGGAGTGAGTGCTCACGCACCTGCGGCGAGGGCTACCAGTCCCGCATTGTGCGCTGCTGGAAGATGCTGTCCCCTGGCTTCGACAGCTCTGTATACAGTGACCTGTGCGAGGCTGCCGAGGCCGTGCGGCCCGAGGAGCGCAAGCCATGCCGCAACCCGGCCTGCGGGCCGCAGTGGGAGATGTCCGAGTGGTCCGAGGTGAGGTGAGCAGCCAGCGGGGGCGATGGGCGGGCGGGCGGCACAGACCTGCCTGTGGCCCACTGCCCGCTCCCACAGTGCACGGCCAGATGTGGCGAGCGCAGCGTGGTGACCAGGGACATCCGCTGCTCTGAGGATGAGGAGCTGTGCGACCCCAGCACCCGGCCCGTGGGGGAGAAGAACTGCACTGGGCCCCCCTGTGACCGTCAGTGGACCGTCTCAGACTGGGGACCGGTGAGGGCATGGGCAGCGGGGGACCTGGGGCCCTGTCTCAGTTTCCCTGCTTTTCTGCAGAGAGTTCATAGGTACTGGCCCTTCCTCACTGCTGTAAGAACAAAACCGTGTCCAAGAACAGGCAGTAGGATCGCCCTCCCTGCACTGCCCTAGGGGTGCTCTTTAGGTTAGTCTCTGCCTCTGTCTCTGTCACTGTCACTGTTTCTCCCCAGCTCCATGGTCTTTCCCTGTCTCTGTCTGTCTCTCTTCTCTCCATCCCCACCTGCCTCTCCTGTCTCCTGTCTCTCCTATCTCTATGTCTCCTGTCTCTCCTGCCTCGGTCTTTCCTGTCTTTCCTATCTCTCCTGGGTCTCTTGTCACTGTCTCTTTCATCTGTCTCTCCTGTCTCCTGTCTCTATGTCTCTATCTTGTTGTATCTCTCTATCTCCATCTGTTTCTCTGTTTTCTCTTCCTGTCTCTGGATATCTCTGTCTCTGGATGTCTTCCTGGTCCTGGCTCTCCACCTCCCACCTGTGGTGCTAGCCTCTCAGTCCCTGTTTCTTAGATGCCAGCTGAGATCGCCCCTGGCGGAGGTGGCGGGGGGCACATGCGTGCCCGATGAGCTGCGCTTTTCTCTGTGTGTTCTGCAGGGAGAGTGTTATTTCTGTAATTAGAGCAGAAAATGTTATTTAAAATGTGGTTACCGTAGCAACTGCTTCCCCTCTCTGCCCTGGGAGCTGCTGCTCTCCCCGGGGGATGATGTGGGTGGGGGCTCAGGGAGCCACGCTCACACCCCCGCCGGCCCCTCCTGCAGTGCAGTGGGAGCTGTGGGCAGGGCCGCACCATCAGGCACGTGTACTGCAAGACCAGCGATGGACGGGTCGTGCCCGAGTCCCAGTGCCAGGCAGAGACCAAGCCCCTGGCCATCCACCCCTGTGGGGACCGGAACTGCCCGGCGCACTGGCTGGCCCAGGACTGGGAGCGGGTGAGTTCCCAAGAGTCTGGAGGCTGCGGGAAAAACTGCAAATTACAAAGGTGCAAATACTAGAGGTGAAACACAAAGATCCGAAAAGGTAAGAGGAGGCCTGGATCTCCCACACCAAACAGCAGTGCCTGGGGAGGTCCTGGGCCTCAGGGCCCACAGGGAGGGCTGCTGGGCTGTGCTGGCTGTCAGCCAGGGGGACCCTGCGACCTCTTACCGCAGTAGCTCTGTCCCTCCCATCAGCTGTTCCCCGGCCCCCAGGGCCACCTCCCATGAACTCCTCCTGTGGCCTCTGACCCCGACTCAGCCAGATCACTGCTAACCAAGTCATCCAGGCCTAACTGTTCTGCTAAATCGATTTGGTCCAAGCTGTCGTTAGCACATTTGTTTCAAAACAGATGGCTTGGGGCCAGCTTGCTTCTGTTTAAATCCATTTGGGGGCGAATGGCTATTGAGCAAAGGGTTCTTGTTCAAATCGCCCACGGGTTGAAGCCCCTGCACTGTGGGCTATCGGTGGGCATCCCGGCCTCTGGCCACGCCGCTGACCCATGCTCTGGGCCCCTGAAGTGCAACACCACATGTGGGCGTGGTGTGAAGAAGCGGTTGGTGCTGTGCATGGAGCTGGCCGATGGGAAGCCTCAGACGCGCAGCGGCCCTGAGTGTGGCCTGGCCCGGAAGCCACCGGTGGAGAGCACCTGCTTCGAAAGGCCCTGCTTCCGATGGTACACCAGCCCCTGGTCTGAGGTGAGCGCCCCACGGGGCCCCCAGGCCACCTTCCTGCCCACGTGGCCCCCGGGCCTGCCACCAACAAGAAGCCTTCTCTGATCTCACCCCTCGATTCTCATCCTGGGCTTCCCTTTGGGACCTGGTCACTTCTGGCTTTGGTCTCTAAGTGGAGTGTGTGGAGGCCCACGAATCCAATACCCTCCATGGGTCAGAGTTAAGACAAGTGCATGGGACTTGGGGTGCAGGTGAATGGGGTGTGTTCCCCCTCTGAGATGGGCTGGGCTCTGCTTGCATCTGTGGGTTCCTTGGTCCCCGGGTCCCCAGCTCAGGACACTGGCCAGGGCACCCCTCTTTGCCCGTAGAGCCATGCCTTCCCCTCCTGGCTTTGCGCAGACTGAGATCTCCTTTGAACTTGGCTGAGGGTGCCAAGCTTTCCAGGTCTCAGAGAAAGAGACAGACGCTCATCAAGATGTTCAGTGTCCCTTGGCTGGGATGGGACACAGAATGATGGTGCCCGAGCCAGCCCATCCTGTGGAGCCCAGGCAGGAAGCCTGCAGCCGGTGTGGCCCCAGTTCCCAGGAGAGGCCAGGCAGAGTGTGGGCACCCCTTCTACTATCCTGTCTGTCCCCACCCCTTCTGCAGAGGCCCAGCCATGACTGCAGGGCCCTAGGGTTTGTTACCACCGCCAAATTCTGGTGGCCAGGGACAGCGTGGCTAGAAGCCAGCTAGAAACTCCGTCAGGTTGCCCATCATCCCTGCCCAGTGCCCAAGTGCCAGCATTGTCCCCAGGCAAGGCCATCAGCTTGCAAGACAGCACAGGGAGGAGGGCAGAGCCATCCCTGGGAGTCATAGGGGCTATGGAGCAGGTTCCATGGTAATGCAGGGTGAGCGGGGTCTCTGGCTGCCTGTGCCTCGGTCCTTAGGGACAGAAGGACCAGAACTGTCACCATGTGTGTACAGTATGTCTACATGCTTAAGGTGCCTGCCCTGTACTTTGGGGATAGCGCCAGGTTCAGGTGGGGGCAGCTTGGGTTTAGGAACTCTGGAAGAGATTGGGGGTGTGGGACCCCAAAGGTAGCATTGTCTGGTGAGGAGAGGCCAGGTGGGAGGAGGGCTGCAGTGGACATACCGGTTCCCGTGGTCTGTCCTGTGTGGTGGTCACTCTTCAGGATGCCAGGCACAGGCTCCATGTTTGTTCCTCAAGCTGCCCCATTCCCCCCTTCCCTGGGGATAAGCGTGGGTGCCAGGCCTGGCTGGGAGCCCACCTGTCTCCAGGGGCACATCCAGAGGTTCCTCGTGGCTGCTGCCAAAAGCAGATTGTGCCTTGGCAGTGGTGCCAGGCTGGCCTCTCCTCGCCTCCAGACGGGGCCGGTGGGGCCTCCTGCCAAGTCTTCTCAGCTCTCCCTGTGCCTGAGCAGACCCCACCCGTCACGGGAGCTGGGGCTGGAGCCCTGACGTGTGGGTGACGCGGGGTCCTTGCGTCAGGGAGCTACCCCTATAGGATCCTGGCAGGACAGGCAGGGTGGGGGTGGGGAGATGATGATTGCTTGGGGTGGGCGGATGTCCTGCACTCTGGGCGGCTGAGTGTGTCTGGGGGGACATCTGGATGGGCACTCAGGGTGGAGCTGTGGCTTCCAGATGCACAGGATGGGCCTGTCATGAATGCTGTGTGAGGGATCAGTGAAAGCTGGAGCCATGGCACCTGCCAGAACATGGTTATCCCCGTATGGTACAGCTGGAGAAACTGAGGCAGTGTGGGGGCGGGGGGAGTCCCAGCTGCAGGTCCTCATGCCCCTCCCCCAGGGGATCGGGCCCATGCCGCACACATCTGTCTCCCCGCAGTGCACCAAGACCTGTGGCGTGGGTGTGAGGATGCGGGACGTGAAGTGCTACCAGGGCACTGACATTGTCCGTGGCTGCGACCCGCTGGTGAAGCCTGTGGGCAGACAGGCCTGTGACCTGCAGCCATGCCCCACGGAGCCCCCAGGTGAGCATGGGCAGGCAGGGAGGCCTGGGCAGCTCCAGGCTCGGGGGTGCACAGGCGTTGGGGGATGCCAGCTGGAGGGCATAGGTGGGGGGTTCCTCCTGGGTACGCACAGGGAGGTGGAGAGGCAGGCAGCAAGCCCCAGGGGTCTGTGCTGAGCTCTGTGCTTTGGGAAGTGTCAGTTTGGCTGTGTGTGGTGGTACAAGGCTGTAACTCTAGCACCCTGGGAGGCTGAGGCAGGAGCATCACAAATTTATACCCAGCTGTGCGGCATGGTAACTTAGCAAATCCCTTTCTCAAAATAAAAAATAAAGGAGGGTGGTGGGCCCTGAAGAAGCCCTGTAGAAGTTTTGCCTTTGGCTTCCTCCTGATGCCCCCACCCTGCTCCTGTCCCTTCCCCAGATGATAGCTGCCAGGACCAGCCGGGCACCAACTGCGCCCTGGCCATCAAAGTGAACCTCTGCAGCCACTGGTACTACAGCAAGGCCTGCTGCCGCTCCTGCAGGCCCCCCGCTCCCAGCCGGGGTGCTGTGGCCCCTTGACACCCGTGCGCCCCATCCCGGGGTTGCTGCAGCTCCGGGGAAGCTTCCGGACACCATCCTGTGGGCTTCCAGGCTGGGAAGATATGACACTGAGCCTCGGTCCACTAGAGGGACTTCTGGGCCTCTAGTGCCCGCTATGGAAGCTGTCACAGAGCGAATGGACCCTGTATCTGAGGCTCTCACCAGCAGCCCCAGCCAGTGGCCCCACCCAGCGTGCGAGGTGGTTCCTTCTGCTCAGGGCCTTGCCTGGGCCAGCAGGGCCTTCTCAAGGTGACTTGTAGGTGACTGGGAAGGAAGTGCCTCCTTCGCTCAGGTGACTTGGGTTGCGGGAGCCACAGGGCACCAGGAGGCCCAAATTGCCTGGGTTCCTGATGTGGGCAGGATTCCTCCTTCCAGGGGGGTAATCTCACGGCCTAGCTTGGGCTCTGCCGGCTGTGTAGGAGCTCCTGTGTCGGAGGGAATAGGCGTACTTTCTGCCCCAGGGCAGGCCCTCTTTTTCATGGTGTATTTGTTCACGGACAGCAGGATGCCCTGTAATCCCCCCTCAGTACTCATCGGTTTATGTTAATAAAGTGGTCAAAGAGGTCTTATTTATGGCAGGCTGCAGAGCTGATGGGGCGGTCTCAAGGACTCAACAAGGATGCAAGGATGGAGGGACTAGGGAGGGGCAGAGGCAGCAGGGCCCTGTGCTGAGCTGGCACTGACTGAGCGTCAAACCTGTCATCCACTGGTACAGGCTAGGGCAGTGGGGGCACCTCAAGGTGACCAGGGTCTCTCCACCTGCAGGTACCCTGGGTCTCCGTGCCATAGATCTGTGGGAGACACAGGGTCTCAGTGGTCTCCGGGGGTAGGAAGTGGTAATAGGGAGCAGAATAGCTTCTGGGCTCCCCAGCAAGCATGTAGGGCACGGAAGGCACTGGGGAGCGAGGGCAGGGCCTGGATGGCCCAGGGCAGGGTCCCATCGGGCCCAGGAGGTGGGGAGGCTTCTTCTGTCCGATGCAGGCCTGGCCAGGGCTCAGTGTGGAACGCAGGGAGCAGCCACTACAGAGCCGTGTTCAGCAGGGCGGCTTCGGCAGGACCTGGCTTGGGGGAAACGGGCAGCAATACAGCCCTCGAGTCCCTGCCTCTGCACACGTGCACACCCACACCCGTGTATTCGTGGGACTTTGACGGGGCAGACACCCCCAGAGCTCTTTCTGGCCCTCAAGTTCCTGGGCTCAAAGACAGCTGAACCCAGCAGAAGAGCATCCTCACAACCAGGGACCCTTACTGCCTCTGCTCAGCTGCCCCTGCCCCCCATCCTGGGTCCTCCCTCTCTCAACGCCACCCTTCCTCCCTCCAGCACTCATGGGGCACTTACTGTCCACACTGCCTGTCATCTGGCCTTAGTTGCTCTGCCTAGGGTTCCCAGTCTTGGAATATCCACGTCGCCCTGCTGCAACCGAGAAGTCAAGGTGGCTTGCCAGGGTGTCCTCGTGCTAGAAAGCTGGGCTGCAGCCCTCAGAACACAGCCTGGGCCCTACCAGCCAACTCCATCTGGCCCTGGCTCCTGGGCAGTGTCTGCACCTAGGTCTGTCCCAGGGGAATGGGGACTGGAGACACAGAGCGAAGGGTGGGAAACAGGTTTATTGGCTTTTGCTTTGCTCTGGGAGCCCCATGGCCCCCCAGCGGGCCACAGGGTGTGGTGATGGGTGAGCCAGGGGGATGCACGCTTAGTTCATTTCATAGGGACCCGAGGGTCTGTACAGAGGGCAGCGGCCAGACAGGCAGGGTCAAGAGAGAGACCAGGCCAAAATGCAGCCCCTGCCCAGGGGTCCACCCAGGGAGGGGAGGGGCCGGGCTGGGGAAGCGACACCCCTGGTGTGTGGCCTGGGCAGGCAGGGGGACGAGGAAGAGGAAAGGAAGGGACAGTGGTTCCGTACCAACAGTGTGGACGGCCGTCCCTTGGTATGTGGGTGTGCTCACCTCTCCCTGGGGTCCGGCCTGGGGCAGAGAGTGCCTGAGAAGAGGGCGCTTGCCTGGCCCTGTGTCACCTCTGTGTGGGCAGCACTGTGCTCCAGTGTCAGTGCCCTGGCCTGGGGCACATCCCTGGGGTGATCTGTGGCATCTTAGCCACTGAGAAGGAAGGGGAGAGCCCAGAATGCCCAGGGAGACCGAGCTGTAGTCTGTGGGACCCAAGCACAATGAGGCCTCCACGTGGGGCAGCCAGCTCCACCACTGGACCCATTGGGCACTGAGGAGGGCTGGGCCGGGGCCTTGCTCCAGCAGGAAGCACGTGGAAGTTAAGTGACCCCAGCTCTGCCTCCCCTGGGGCCTCTGCTGCTGCTGCTGAGAGCTAGCGTCCTCCTAGCATGGACAGGGAGACGGAGGCAGAGCTCTGAAGGCCCCTCTGGGTCTCACGGGTCACTGGGGGCTTTGAAACTCAGGCTGCTGTTCTGGCCACCTCTGCCTGGCTGCCTCTGGGTTTAGGGCCAAGCCCCCTCCAAGCAGGGCCTCTCTCTCCTGTGCCCACTTGTGCCAAGGACCCTGCTGCCCCAAGACTCACCCTTGTGCTTGTGGGGGGTACTGTCCAGCTACAGGGAGCTCAGTGCATGGACATCTCAGGATCAGCAGGTGCGTGGCACCCAGAGCCCAGAGACAGACAGACAGACAGACAGATACGGGAAGGGAGTGAGTTCAGGCTGCAGGTGCAGAACCTTCCACCTGCAATCAGGGCCCTGACATCCCAGAGACCACTCCCTAGAATAGGTAAGAAGGTCAATGCCAGGGTGGGATGACCACAGGGGCCACATTGCTGTTCCCCATCCCTTGAAAATGGCCCCTGCCCTGAGCCCCAGCCCAGAGCAGCTCTCTTCACCTCCCGCCTCTCGCTCGTCCCTGTGCCAGGCTTGCTGCATATTCTGCCCAGCTGTCCTAACCCACAGTGGCCACGTCTGTGTTCCATGAGCCTTAGCCCCACACCTGGTCCCTGGGAACAGGAACAGGGACAGAGACCAGGACAGGAGGGCAGCTTGGCAGAGCCCTGGCCTGGGCCTGGGGCTGGGGTGGGCAACACGGGTATCCTGCCATGGCATCAGGGCCTCCCGGGGTAGGGTGTTGGGACGCAGCGGGTGCTAGCCACTGCGTCACACATCAGTGCTGACGCTGCGGCTCCGGGAGAAGGCCTCTCGCATGGCCGACAGGCGGCCAGGGTTGAGTGGCTGCAGGCCTGCGAAGCCCCCGGGCGGCAGCTCCACATCTTCCTGGCTGATGCTCCTGTAGGGCACACGCCCCCCTCCGTTGCGCACGCCCACACCCACATCCTCCTGGGCTTCATCATCGTCGGGCTCCTGCAGGAAGAAGGTGGGCGGCTCGTAGTGGGAGCAGCTGCGGCAGAGGGCACGGGCCTGCGGCGACTTCTGGCTGAAGGAGGTGGAGGCGGAGGGGTAGAGGGCTGCTGGCCCGTTGGTCAACACCAGGTTGCGGTTGGAGTGCAGGGGCGGCACATGCGTGTGCACTGCGAAGTCCGGCTCCTCCTCGTCCTCCTCTGACTCGTCCTTCTTGCAGCAATAGTACTGCGAGAGAGGAGAGGTGACCGCGCCGTCCCCTGGCTCGCATGTGCACCCCGAGGAAGGTCCCTGAGACAGCAGGACAGCCCCACCTGGCTGCCCCCTGCTTCACCGCCTCTGGGAAGCTCGTCCAGCTCCAACCTGAGCACCTCACCACGGTTCATGTATCCCATCTGAGTTGCAACCCCAACACAGGGAAACTGAGGCATAAGCAGCAGGCAGCCCTAGAGGTGCAGAGCTGATGTGTGAGCCCTGTCCGGGCTCCTTGCCCTGCACAAAAGCCTCCCTCTTTGCTCTTAGGAAGATGCGGGTCTTGGTGGCCTTGAAGCTGGGTGAGAGGGCCAGCATATCGGGAGCCACTGTGCTCACCTCTGCTCTTTCTCTGGGCGGCTGTGTGCCCTGAGCTAAGGGCCAGACCCTCTCTGAACCTTGGCCAAAGCCCTGGATGAAGTGGCAGGTGTCACCACTACTGAGGTCCACCCATGGCCAGGTGCCCAGCACCTCCTCTGACACCCACTCTCCTGGTTCCTGCACAGGGCCACACTTTGGGTCCCCACCCCACACCCCTCCTGTGCTAGGGTACCTGGAGCCGACAGTAGCAAAGAACAGCAATGATGCAGAGAAGAATCACAGTTGCCAAGATGCCCCCGGTGATGACCACGGTCCCGGCTGTCATCCGCCCACTTCTCCATCAACAGCCTGCAGCAGATGGCAAAGTCACTGCAGAGACACCGCGAGGGGAGGAGCAACCACTCCGGCTGTGCTCAGGGAGGCTGCCAGGTGCCACCTGGGCACAGGGTGGGAGCAAGGGTCTGGGCCCTGCTCTGCCTCAGGCAGCCTCTTTCCTGCCTCAGTTTCCCCACGGTGGATGCTATGAGCATGGGGTCTCTTGACGGCCTGCGAGTGCTCCCACAGTGCTCACCAGTGCTGTCCTGCTCCCATTGAACATGGACACAGCCAGCTACAGTTTCTGTGCCCTTAAGTGCAGCGCAGTTTCTGACCGTGTTCCACTCTAGCATGACAGCCCTTTGGCTTCTAAATATGGCTGTACTGCTAAGGAGTTTACTCCTGGGGACTTTTTTGGGGGTGCTAGGGATTGAACCCAGGGCCTCACAGACAGTAGGCGAGCACTGTGCTGCTGAGCTACACCTCAATCTTTTTAATTAATTTTATTGTTTTGAGACACGGCCTCACTAAGTTGCCCAGGTTGGCCTTGACCTTATAATCCTCCTGCCTCAGCCTCCCAGACGCTGAGATTACAGGCATGCACCACCACGCCAGGTGATGGTCCCTGTGCTTGTCCATGTTCCCGGTCCTACAGGGTTGTGGGTTTGGCAGTGCCCTGTGTCATTCTGATCCGGGCCCTGACATGGTTTTGCCTAATGCCAGGGGGCTGGCGAGGCCACTGTAGAGAAGGGGTTCTCACAGCTGCTGGTCCTGGATGCTTCCAGTGACTGCAGCTGGGGGCGGTTACTTTTTAAGAGGGGGGGAATATGGGTGCACATCAATATTTCCACTTAAAATTAGGGCTTATTGTGAAATGTGGCAACTTTGAGTGAAATCTCATTTCCGTCACCATTAGCCTACTTGCACTTTCCAGCCTGTCTGGTAATTCTGAAATCACATTACGGCTGCTTTTCCTACTGTGTCTCTGGAAGTGTTTGATAGTCCTCTCCTCCTCATGTGTTTATCTCTTTAGGGATACGGCTGACAATTTCAAAGTCACAGGGAATAATTCTCTGTGTCGCCTTCCCCCACCAGTTCGTTTATTGTACTCAGGTTCGTCTGGAGGGGTTGTTTTTAATTAAAAAATAAATTTAGTTTTGGCCTCACCAAAGCACTTGGTCCCAAAGCCCACAGCATGCAGTGTCCAGCACGTGGGCCCCACCCTGTCAGTGTCACCAGAATTCTGATCCTTTCCAGACACACAGCAAACCCATGCTGCCTTCCCGGAGGACAGGAGTTCGAGTCTTCATGTGGTGTCTGCATCCTGAATCCCAGCTTGGGTGACATTGGGGTACCCTGGATGCAGTGCAGAGGCCCTGGCCTCCTCACCATCCTGTGCAGGAGGAGCCTAGGTCACCCAGCTGGCCCAGGCACCGTGGCTCAGGTGCCAAGTCCCAGCTCGGCTTTAGCAGCAGCGCTGGGCTAAGCTCATGGCCTCTAAAGTGTTTGGGGAACTCACGCCAACGGCATGCTGGGGTCTGGCTGATCTGTCCCCATGCCGGAATGTAGGGGCACAATCAGCAAACAACATCCAGGTGGGTTAGGGGCGGCTTGGTGTCCCCAGAGGCTGCCAGCAGACTCAGGGTAGTCACTAGATGAGGCATGGGTAAAGAGGACATCCTGGGAGAGATGGAGGGGACCATGCGGACTGGGAGGGTTCATCCAGGCAAAGCTGGGCCTGGAAGCCAGAGCCTGAAAGACGGAAAGGCAGGGCCAGACAGCCAGTCAGATGGACAGACGGGTCCACAGGAGCCAGACAGAGACCCAGACAGACCATTGATGGCTCCAAAGATAGACAGATAGACAGGTCAACAGGCGCCAGAGACAGAGACACCATGGATGGTTCCAGAGACAGACAGGCAGATAGAGATGGGTCCAAAGCTTCGCCACAAAGTGTGCAGACAAGAGAAGGAGCCACAGGAGCCCATGTTCTGGGCAGACTGCCTGGCGGCCCCTGCACCTATATGACCACTGGCTCAGGCTGCCTGGTGGGACTCAGCAGGCCATTACCCAGGTGTCAACAGAGCAGCCAGCAGCTGAGACCCAGCCCCACCTGCAAGGACATGGTGGGGGGCTTTCCTGGGCAGCAGAGAACCCTGAGGATCCCACCTCAGTAGCTGTGAACATGGGGCTAGGGGAGGTGCTGGGATTTGGTGTTGTGGGGCTGGAAACTGAGTGGGGCCACCTAGGAGACCCAACAAACCCAGGCTGTGACAGTGAGGCTGGCCCTGGTGCTGGGCACCAGGCAGCTGCAGGGGAAACGGGACCCCTGGGGGAGAAGCCATCCTGTCCCATTGTCTCACCTGGCAGGCTCTCCTCTGAGAGCTTGCAGCAGCCCCAGTGGCCTGCAGGGGATACGTGACCAGCCTGGACCCCAACCCCCATCCAGCAAGAGTAGGGATCTGAGAGACCAGGCCTGCCTGCCCTTCCCGTCCACCTCAGAAACGAACGCCCTGTACCCCACCAGGCCACTGAGGGAATGGGTATTGCAGACAATGGAGTAGGGTGCTGGCCCCTTCCCTGCGTCCTGGCCCTGAGCCCACAGCGTGATTTCTGAGGCTCATTGGAGGGTCGGCGTGTGCCCAGGCTGGGACAGCTGGCTGCTTGCCAGGGACACAAAATTGGGGCCTGGTAGCCCTCTGGCCCCCATGGCCACTGCCCTGGGAGAGATGCAGGAGCAGCCAAGCAGTGGCCTGGCAAGTGTGGTTGGCCACACACGAGGAGCTGGGAGGAAGCAGGGATGGACATGGCAGGAGGAACTGAGATGGCTTCCTTTTGCAGCCAGAACTGACCACCGCTGCCCAGCCGAATAGGGTAGAAGGACGCTGCCAAGCTCAATGAGTAAGAACTAGGAGCGGCCATGCAGGGCTAGAGCTGTGGATGGCCAGGCAGCCCGAGGTCCCAGGGCACCACGAAGGCCCCTGCATGGGTCAGCCCTCCTGGCTCTGCTCTCTTGCACACCAGTGCCCCATGCACCATCTGTGAGTAACTTTCAGGTCTGTAGCAGCCGATTCCTGGCCTCACGTGGCTCAGGGCATGGTGGGCAGGGTGCCGGTCAGGCCAAGTGTCCAGGGTCATCAGTGGCCACCTCACCCACACACAGGCCGGCCAACTGGACAGCTCAGCCTGCCTAGAAGCAGCAACTCCATGGCAGGCTGAAGGCCCTGGGAGCCTCTGCCCCCCATCACCCACAGTTAACTCCACACCATCCCAAGAGACGCTGCTCTCAGCCCCACCCTCCAGCCTCTCATCTGGTCTTGCTGAGCCCTGCTCTGGGACACCCTTTTCTCCTGCCACCAAAACTAGCACAAGCCCTTCTCTTCCAGGAAGCCTGCTGGAGTTTACCTGAACAATACAAGACTTCAAACCACAAGGACAAAGAGGAGCCACATCCCACTGTATGGCAGCTGGAGGACCGATATAGACCTAGCTCAGCTCCTCACCCCCTGCACCCTGAAAGCTTCCCCCGCTGCACTCCAGCCTGGGCCTGGGAGCCTGTGCACTGTCCCCGAGGTGGAGGGACATCTCGCCGTAGCCTTAGGGAGTGACCTTATCTGGGAAGGGAGGAGTTTGTTCTGTAGACTCCTCCCCCTCTGAGGGTTCTGCACAGGGTGGTGGTGGGGTCACATGTAAGCCAAGCTGTTGAGGGGACAGTGATGGAGTCTTCAGGTGCCACAGGGTTCTGAGAACAACTAAGCTGGGTTACGGGTGGGTGGGTGGGTGGTAAGGAGCCCCCCCATGCTTCCTGGAGGAAGCGGAGCAGAGCCACCCCTGCAGAAGGGCTGCTTTCTGGGGGTTGGCGAGAGCACATCTTGGCCACAGAAGTACTAGATGGGCAGAGGCCACCCCACGGCCCACTGTTTGTGACTCAGAGTGTGCTGGAGCCGGGCTGCATGGTTAATATGCCCCCTGGGCCCATAAACAGGTTTAAGGCTTTATAAACGCCTCTGCTTCCCTTCCCTACCCCGACTGGTACGCATGGGCTGTGAGATGAGACCCTGCTGAGCGCCCTGCCAAGCCCCGATCTGTGGAGGACCCTGGCGGTGTACCCCCATTCTCCTCCCGGCTGTGGCTGGGCCTCACCATGGACAATGGCGGCCGTATGGGGCTGGGCGGGTGGCAGGAAGCACCTGGCGGCAGAGCCAGACACCCCCATCTGCCTCTCTGGGAGCCCCCTTTCTCCTGGCAGGAGCCCCCTATGTGGCTGCCGTCTGGAACATATTCTTCTATTTCCCTCTGCCTCTCCTGCTGCCCCCGGCCCACGGGACCCCCATGTCTGCCTACTCCCTCCCCCTCCCCAACCACCCCTGCTTCCTGGCCCTTGGCTGATGTCGGGCAACAGCATAGCTGCCAGGAGGCCTCTGTCTGCTTGGCTCCTCTGAGCTTCCCGGTGTCCCTGGGGGCCAAAGAGGGGCCCTGCCTGTCCCTAGAGCTGGCTGGGCACTGGATCTTTGAGCACAAAAACCCCCAACCCAGGGGCCACCACAGATAGTCAGGAGCCTGAACCACCATGTGACCCCACAACCCATGGAGCATGTGGCTGCTCATTTCCAGATGGGGAAACTGAGGCCAGAGCAGAGCTGGCTGGGGACCTGGGCGTACCACCTCCCAGTCTGGTCCCTGATCGGCCAGCATTGAGCCGAGGGCTTACAGGACTCAGAAAGCCTTTTCCCCCCAAAACATCTGTCTGGTTACAAAAGTGCTCGGCTACCTGGAAGCCCGTGGGCCCTGCGTCCAGGAGCCGAGCGCAGCCCGCAGAGTTCCTGTCTAGACCGCCTCCACATTTGTTCCTAATTTCACGCTCTGCGGGCTCCCGGATTCCTGCGCCCGGTAATAAATACATGGGCAGCACTCGATGGTGCGGCTGGCTCGGTCTGGAGATTTTATCCAGAGCCGCCGGGGTGGGCACAGGAGGGGCCGCCTAGGGCGAAGTGCTCCCCAGTGCCGTCCTCAGCTCAGAGAGGACTCAGTCAAGGACACCAGGAAGTGTCCAT